ACAGACAGACAGACAGGGTCAGATCTGATGGATGGACAGACAGACAGAGAGACAGGGTCAGCTCTGACAGACAGACAGACAGACAGACAGAGAGAGAGACAGGGTCAGCTCTGACAGACAGGGTCAGCTCTGACAGACGGACAGACAGAGAGACAGGGTCAGCTCTGACAGACGGACAGACAGACAGACAGACAGGGTCAGCTCTGACAGACAGACAGACAGACAGACAGACAGGGTCAGCTCTGACAGACGACAGACAGACAGAGAGACAGAGAGACAGGGTCAGATCTGACAGACAGACAGACAGACAGAGAGACAGGGTCAGATCTGACAGACAGACAGACAGGGTCAGCTCTGACAGACAGGACAGACAGAGAGACAGACAGAGAGAGAGACAAGGTCAGATCTGATGGACGGACAGACAGACAGAGAGACAGACAGGGTCAGCTCTGACAGACAGACAGAGAGACAGAGAGAGTCAGCTCTGACGGACGGACAGACAGACAGAGAGAGAGACAGACAGGGTCAGATCTGACAGACAGACAGAGAGACAGAGAGAGTCAGCTCTGACAGACAGACAGACAGACAGAGAGACAGACAGGGTCAGCTCTGACAGACAGACAGAGAGACAGAGAGAGTCAGCTCTGCCGGACGGACAGACAGACAGAGAGACAGGGTCAAATCTGACGGACGGACAGACAGAGAGAGAGAGACAGGGTCAGCTCTGACAGACAGACAGACAGACAGAGAGACAGGGTCAGCTCTGATGCACAGACAGACAGACAGAGAGAGAGACAGGGTCAGATCTGACGGACGGACAGACAGACAGGGTCAGATGTGACAGACAGACGGACAGACAGACACAGTTAGCTCTGACAGACAGACAGACACAGGGTCAGATCAGACAGACGGACAGACGGACAGAGGGTCCGGGCTCAGCTCTGGGACAGACACACGGACAGGCCTGGGGGGCTCTGGAAGGTTCTGGAAGGTTCTGGAAGGTTCCAGGCTCTCACCGTGCTCCAGGACCTCGTCCCGCACGTCCCTGCAAGGGGGGAGAGGTGACCCAGAGACCCCCAAAAACCCCAAAAACACCAAAAACCCCGAATCACCCCAAAAACCCCAAAAAACCCCAATCCCCCAAAAACCCAAATCCCCCAAAAACCCCAAAAACTCCAAAAACCCAAAACCCCCAAATCCCCCAAAAAACCCTAAATCCCCCAAAAACCCAAAAACCCCAAATCCCCCCAAAAACCCAAAAACCCCAAAAACCCCAAAAAACCCCAAAACCCCAAAAACCCAAATCCCCCAAAACCCCAAAAACCCCAAAATCCCCCCAAACCCCCCCAAAAAACCCCAAAAACCCCAAAAACCCAAAAACCCCAAATCCCCCAAAAACCCCATATCCCAAAAACCCCAAAAACCCCAAAAACCCCAAAAACCCAAATGCCCCAAAAACCCCAAATCCCCCAAAAAACCCAAAAACCCCAAAAACCCCGAATCACCCCCAAAACCCCAAAAACCCCAAAAACCCCAAATCACCCCAAAAAACCCCAAAAAACCCCAAAAACCCCCAAAAACCCCAAAAACCCCAAATGCCCCAAAACCCCAAATCCCCCAAACCCCCAAAAACCCCAATCCCCCAAAAACCCCAAAAACCCCAAAAACCCCAAATCCCCCAAAATCCCCCAAAAAACCCAAAAAACCCCAAAAACCCCAAATCCCCCCAAAAACCCCAAATCCCCCAAAAACCCCAAATCACCCTCAGACCCCCCCCAAACCCCTCTAAGCCCCCCCCAGATCCCCCAAATTCCCCCCCAAAATCCCCCTCAAAGCCCCAAAAAATTCCCCCCAAACCCCCCCAAAAACCCCTCAAACCCCCCCCAAACCCCTCAAACCCCCCCAAATTTTCCCAAATTTGCCCAAATTTCCCCGAATTTGCCCCAAATCCCCCAGCCCCACCTGAGTTTGCCATCGTCCAGCAGCTCCTCGGCGTCAGAGAAATTCAGGACCTGATCCCCCTTGCGGGAGGGGCTGCACTGCGGGGCCAAGGGGGGTCAGACCCCCCAAAAAAACCCCAAAAACCCCAAAAAAACCCCAAATTCCACCTGATCCCACTCAGGGAGGGGCTGCACTGCGGGGCCAATGGGTCAGACCCCCCAAAAAAACCCCAAAAACCCCAAAAAAACCCCAAAAAACCCCAAATTCCACCTGATCCCACTCAGGGAGGGGCTGCACTGCGGGGCCAAGGGGGTCAGACCCCCCAAAAAAACCCCAAAAACCCCAAAAATCCCAAATTCCACCTGATCCCCCCCTTGGGGAGGGGCTGCACTGCGGGGCCAATGGGGTCAGACCCCCCAAAAACCCCAAAAATCCCAAAAATCCCAAATTCCACCCTTGGGGAGGGGCTGCACTGCGGGGCCAGGGGGGTCAGACCCCCCAAAAAACCCCAAAAACCCCAAAAACCCCAAAAAAACCCCAAATTCCACCTGATCCCCCTTGGGGAGGGGCTGCACTGGCGGGCCAATGGGGTCAGACCCCCCAAAAACCCCAAAAAACCCCAAAAACACCCCAAATTCCACCCCTTGGGGAGGGGCTGCACTGCGGGGGCCAATGGGGTCAGACGCCCCAAAAACCCCAAAAAACCCCAAAAACCCCAAATTCCACCTGATCCCCCTTGGGGAGGGGCTGCACTGCGGGGCCAATGGGGTCAGACCCCCAAAAAAAACCCCAAAAAAAAACCCCAAAAACCCCAAATTCCACCCTTGGGGAGGGGCTGCACTGCGGGGCCAATGGGGTCAGACCCCCCAAAAACCCCAAAAACCCCAAAAACCCAAAAAACCCCAAATTCAGGACCTGATCCCCCTTGGGGAGGGGCTGCACTGCGGGCCAGGGGGGTCAGACCCCCCAAAAAACCCCAAAAAACCCAAAAATCCCAAATTCCACCTGATCCCCCCTTGGGGAGGGGCTGCACTGCAGGGCCAATGGGGTCAGACCCCCCAAAAAACCCAAAAAAACCCCAAAAAAACCCCAAAAATCCCAAATTCCACCTGATCCCCCTTGGGGAGGGGCTGCACTGCGGGGCCAATGGGGTCAGACCCCCCCAAAAACCCCAAAAACCCCCAAAAAATCCCAAATTCCACCCTTGGGGAGGGGCTGCACTGCGGGGCCAATGGGGTCAGACCCCCCAAAAACCCCAAAAAACCCCCAAAAAAACCCCAAATTCCACCTGATCCCCCTTGGGGAGGGGCTGCACTGCGGGGCCAATGGGGTCAGACCCCCCAAAAACCCCAAAAAACCCCAAAAATCCCCAAATTCCACCCTTGGGGAGGGGCTGCACTGCGGGGCCAGGGGGGTCAGACCCCCCCCAAAAAACCCCAAAAAACCCAAAAATCCCAAATTCCACCCCTTGGGGAGGGGCTGCACTGCAGGGCCAGGGGGGTCAGACCCCCCAAAAAACCCCAAAAAAAAACCCAAAAAACCCCAAATTCCACCTGATCCCCCTTGGGGAGGGGCTGCACTGCGGGGCCAATGGGGTCAGACCCCCCAAAAAAACCCAAAAAAAACCCAAAAAAAATCCCAAAAATCCAAATTCCACCTGATCCCCCTTGGGGAGGGGCTGCACTGCGGGGGCCAATGGGGTCAGACCCCCCAAAAAACCCCAAAAACCCCAAAAAAAACCCAAATTCCACCTGATCCCACTCAGGGAGGGGCTGCACTGCGGGGCCAATGGGGTCAGACCCCCCAAAAAACCCCAAAAACCCCCAAAAAACCCCAAATTCCACCCTTGGGGAGGGCTGCACTGCGGGGCCAATGGGGTCAGACCCCCCCAAAAACCCCAAAAACCCCAAAAAACCCCAAAAATCCCCCAAATTCCACCCCTTGGGGAGGGGCTGCACTGCGGGGCCAATGGGGTCAGACCCCCAAAAAAACCCCAAAAAACCCCCAAAAAAACCCAAAAAACCCCAAATTCCACCCTTGGGGAGGGGCTGCACTGCGGGGCCAGGGGGGTCAGACCCCCCAAAAAACCCAAAAAAAAAACCCAAAAACCCCAAATTCCACCTGATCCCCCTTGGGGAGGGGCTGCACTGCGGGGCCAGTGGGGTCAGACCCCCAAAAAAAACCCCAAAAAACCCCAAAAAAACCCCAAATTCCACCCTTGGGGAGGGGCTGCACTGCAGGGCCAGGGGGGTCAGACCACCCAAAAAACCCCAAAAACCCCAAAAACCCCAAATTCCACCTGATCCCCCTTGGGGAGGGGCTGCACTGCGGGGCCAATGGGGTCAGACCCCCCAAAAAAACCCCAAAAAACCCAAAAATCCCAAATTCCACCTGATCCCACTTGGGGAGGGGCTGCACTGCAGGGCCAGGGGGGTCAGACCCCCCAAAAACCCCAAAAAAAAACCCCAAAAAAACCCCAAAAAACTCCAAATTCCACCTGATCCCCCTTGGGGAGGGGCTGCACTGCGGGGCCAATGGGGTCAGACCCCCCAAAAAACCCCAAAAAAAACCCAAAACCCCCAAATTCAGGACCTGATCCCCCTTGGGGTGGGGCTGCACTGACCCAGACCCACCCAAACCCACCCAGGGACCCCCAAAAACGCCCCCAAAATCTCACCTGGGACCCCCCAAATCCCCCTAGGACCCCCCCATCAGGACCCCCAAATTCTCCCAAATTCACCCTAAAAAACCCTTCCAGGACCCCTCAAATCCCCTTGAGACCCCCCAAAACCTCCCCAAATCCCCCCTGGGACCCCCAAATCCCTTCCAGGACCCCCAAATCCCCCCCAGGACCCCCCAAAACCCCTCCAGGACCCCCCAAATCCCCCTGGGACCCCCCAAATCCCCCAAATCCCCTCCAGGACCCCTCCCCAGGTGCTACAGGTGCAGGAGCCGCTGCACTTTGGGATGCTTGAACCTTCCAGGACCTCCCAAATCCCCCAAAACTCCCCCTGGGACCCCTCAAATCCCCCTTGGGACCCCCCAAAACCCCTCCAGGACCCCCAAAAACCCTTCCAGGACCCCCCAATCCCCTCCAGGACCCCCCAGGATCCCCCAAAACTCCCCCAGGACCCCTCCCCAAGTGCTACAGGTGCAGGAGCTGCTGCACTTTGGGATGCTCAAACCTTCCAGGACCTCCCAGAAACCCCCAAAACTCCCCCTGGGACCCCTCAAATCCCCCTTGGGACCCCCCAAATCCCCCAGGACCCCCCAAATCCTCTTCAGGACCCCCAAAACCCTTCCAGGACCCCCCAAAAAGCCCCCAGGACCCTTCCCCAGGTGCTACAGGTGCAGGAGCTGCAGCATTTTGGGGGTCCCTGAAGCTTTCAGAACCCCCAAAACTCCCCCTGGGACCCCCCCAAATCCCCTCTGGGACCCCCAAATCCTCTCAGAACCCTTCCAGGACCCCCTAAATCATCCCCAAACCCTTCCAGGACCCCCTAAATCCCCCTTAAATCCTCTCTGGGACCCCCCAAATCCCCGCCCCCAGACCCTAAGCCCCCTCCCCAACCTCTCCCCAGGTGCTACAGGAGCAGGAGCTGCTGCACTTTGGGGGTTCTTGAACCTCCCAGAACCCCCAAAACTCCCCCCTGGGACCCCTCAAATCCCCTCTGGGACCCCCCAAATCCTCTCAGAACCCTTCCAGGACCCCCTAAAATCCCCCCCAAAATCCCCCCAAATCCCCCCAGGACCCCCTCCCCACCTGTCTGGTCCTGCAGCAGGTGGTACTGGCGCAGGAGCTGCCAGTGCAGCTGCAGGGCCTTGGGGGTCCTGGCAGGGTAAAACACGGAGGGGTGGCGCTGCAGCAGCTCCTGGAAGGTGTCCAGGGACGGGACCGGGCTCTGGGGACATTTGGGGACACGTCAGGGGACACGTCAGGGGACACCAGGGGACATGGGGCATGGCAGGGGACACAGGGACAGGGCAGGGGGACAGGTCCTGGCAGGGTCAAACACGGCCTGCAGCAGCTCCTGGAAGGTGTCCAGGGACGGGACCGGGCTCTGGGGACATTTGGGGACACGTCAGGGGACACCAGGGGACACCAGGGGACACGGGGACAGGGCAGGGGACAGGTCCTGGCAGGGTCAAACACGGCCTGCAGCAGGTCCTGGAAGGTGTCCAGGGACAGGACGGGGCTCTGGGGACATTTGGGGACACGTCCAGGGACACCAGGGGACACGGGGACAGGGCAGGGGGACATGGGGCATGGCAGGGGACAGGTCCTGGCAGGGTAAAACATGGCCTGCAGCAGCTCCTGGAAGGTGTCCAGCGAGGGGACAGGGCTCTGGGGACATTTGGGGACATTTGGGGACACGTCAGGGGACACCAGGGGACACAGGGACAGGGCAGGGGACAACGGGGACAGGGCAGGGGACATGGGGCATGGCAGGGGACAGGTCCTGGCAGGGTCAAACACGGCCTGCAGCAGGTCCTGGAAGGTGTCCAGGGACAGGATGGGGCTCTGGGGACATTTGGGGACACGTCAGGGGACAGCAGGGGACACGTCAAGGGGACATTAGGGGGACAGGCCCTACCAATGACACGTGGGTCAGCAGCAATGGGGTGACGTATGGGGACGTTTGGGGACATTAGGGGACATTTGGGGACATGTGGGGACAGTCCCTCACCAATGGCACGCGGGTCAGCAGCAGTGGGATGACATTGGGTGACCTTAGGTGACCTTAGGGGACATTAGGGGACAGTCCCTCACCGATGGCACGCGGGTCAGCAGCAGTGGGATGACATTAGGTGATGTTAGGTGACATTAGGGGACGTTTGGGGACATTTGGGGACATTTGGGGACAGTCCCTCACCGATGGCACGCGGGTCAGCAGCAGGGGGATGACATTTGGTGACATTAGGGGACATTTGGGGACAGTCCCTCACCGATGGCACTCGGGTCAGCAGCTGCTCCTCGGCCTTGCTGAACAGGACCTTGCTCTGGATGGCGGCCACGGCCTCGGGGTGCAGCTGGCGCATGGCCTGGCACGAGAGCCTGGGGACAGTGGGGACATTGGGGACAATGGTGACATTGGGGACACCCCCTGGGACACCCCAACCCTCGGGGTGCAGCTGGCGCATGGCCTGGCACGAGAGCCTGGGGACAATGGGGACATTGGGGACAATGGTGACATTGGGACATTGGGGACAATGGGACATCCCTGTGACACCCCTGTGACACCCCTGAGGCCTGGCACGAGAGCCTGGGGACAATGGGGACAATGGGGACATGGGGACACCCTTGGGACACCCCTTGGACACCCCAACCCTCCGCATGGCCTGGCACGAGAGCCTGGGGACATTGGGGACATTGGGGACATTGGGACATTGGGGACACCCCTGTGACCCTCGGGGTGCAGCTGGCGCATGGCCTGGCACGAGAGCCTGGGGACAATGGGGACAATGGGGACAATGGGGACAATGGGGACACCCCAACCCTCGGCATGGCCTGGCACGAGAGCCTGGGGACAATGGGGACACCCCTGGGACACCCCTGGGAGAGCCCCATGGCCTGGCACGAGAGCCTGGGGACAATGGGGACATGGGGACAATGGGGACATTGGGGACAATGGGGACAATGGGGACATTGGGGACAGTGGGGACAATGGGGACACTGGGGACACATGTGACATGTGTGACACCCCTGTGACACCCCTGAGGGACAGCCCCATGGCCCAGCATGACAGGGACACTGGGGACACCTCTGGGACTGTCCCCAAACCCCTGAGACCCCTTGGGGACACTTGAGCCCCCCCCGGGGTCCTAAAGCAAAAGCTCCTGGGTGTCCCATGGGTGTCCCAGGGGGTGTCCCATGGGTGTCACAGGGGTGTCCCATGGGTGTCCCATGGGTGTCCCAGGGGTGTCACAGGGGGTGTCCCAAGGGTGTCCCATGGGTGTCACAGGGGTGTCCCATGGGTGTCCCAGGGGTGTCACAGGGGTGTCCCATGGGTGTCACAGGGGTGTCACAGGGGTGCCACAGGGGTGTCCCATGGGGGCCACAGGGGTGTCCCACGGGTGTCACAGGAGTGTCCCATGGGTGTCACAGGGGTGTCACACGGGTGCCACACGGGTGTCACCTGTGTCCCCCCTGCTGTCACCTGTGTCCCCTGACTCTGCCACACCTGTGGGACCCCCCAAAGTCGCCCCAGGACCCCCCCAAATTGTCCCCACTTTGCAGATGACGGGGTCGTAGAGCAGCGAGTGCCAGCGCTCCTGGGTGTCCCATGGGTGTCCCATGGGTGTCACCTGTGTCCCCTGAGTCCCACGACCCCCCCACAGCTGTGGGACCCCTCGAAGCCCCCCAGGACCCCCCAGGACCCCCCAAATTGTCCTCACTTGCAGATGACGGGATCATAGAGCAGCGAGTACCAGCGCTCCTGGGTGTCCATGGGTGTCCCATGAGTGTCCCATGGGTGTCACACAGGTGTCATCTGTGTCCCCTGAGTCCCACAATCCCCCCACACCTCTGGGACTCCCCCAGGACCCCTCGAAGCCCCCCAGGACCCCCCAAACTGTCCCCACTTGCAGATGACGGGGTCATACAGCAGCGAGTGCCAGCGCTCCTGGGTGTCCCATGGTGTCCCATGGGTGTCACACAAACGTCACCTGTGTCCCCTGAGTCCCATGACTCCCCCCACACCCGTGGGACCCCCCCAGGACCCCTAAAGACGCCCCAGGACCCCCAAATTGTCCCCCACTTGCAAGTGACGGGATCATAGAGCACAGAGTGCCAGCGCTCCTGGGTGTCCCATGGGTGTCCCATGGGTGTCACACAGGTGTCACCTGTGTCCCCCTGCTGTCACCTGTGTCCCCTGAATCCCAGGACCCCCCCCACACCTGTGGGACCCCCTTGAAGCCCCCCAGGACCCCCCAGGACCCCCCAAAGTTCCCTCACTTGCAGATGACGGGGTCGTAGAGCAGCGAGTACCAGCGCTCCTGGGTGTCACACAAATGTCACCTGCGCCTGTGTCACCCTGCTGTCACCCTGTGTCCCCTGAGTCCCAGGACCCCCCCCACACCTCTGGGACTCCCCCAGGACCCCTCGAAGCCCCCCAGGACCCCCCAAATTTCTCTCACTTGCAGATGACGGGGTCGTAGAGCAGCGAGTACCAGCGCTCCTGGATCTCGCGCAGGGTGAAGCGGCAGCTGAACTTCACCCCCAGGTGCACCGAGGTCAGGTCGTTGGTCTGGGGGGGGGGGGAACCCCAAAAATCAACGGGGGAGGGGGTGAGGGGGTGAGGGGAGGGCTCCTGGGGGTGCTGGGGTCACCCCCGAAATCCTGCAGGGGAGGGGGACAGCCCAAAGCCCCCAGGGGTGTCCCACCTGCAGCGCAAGGAGCCACTGAGGCCGTTTTGGGGTTCCCCCCAAAATCCCCCCAAATTCCCCAATTATGGGGGGTCCCCAATTAAGAGGGGGTTCCCCAGGTGGGTGGGGGTCCCCCAAGCCCCTCCAGGTGAGGAGAGACCCCCAAAACCTCCCCAAGCTCCCCCCCATGTGTGCCTGCACCACAAGGTGCCATTGGGTCCTAAGTGATCATTCCAGGGGTTCCCCCCAAAACACCCCCAAAATCCCCAATTAAAGGGGAGTCTCCCAGGTGTGTGGGTGTTCCCCAGGTGGGTGGGGGTCCCCCAAGCCCCTCCAGGTGAGGAGAGACCCCCAAAACCTCCCCAAATCCCTCAGGTGTGCCCTGACCTGCACCACAAGAAGCCATTGGGCCCCCAAGCGACCGTTCCAGGGGTTCCCCCAAAAACCCCCCAAAATCCCCCAATCAAGGGGGGGGTTCCCCAACTCAGGGGGGTCCCCCAAGTGGGAGGGGATCCCCCAAGTCCCTCCAGGTGAGGAGAGACCCCCCAAAACCTCCCCAAATCCCCCCAGGTGTGCCCTGACCTGCACCATAAGAAGCCATCGGGTCCTAAGCGACCGTTCTGGGGATTCCCCCCAAAATTCCCCAATCAAGGGGGGTCCCCAATTAAGAGGGGGTTCCCCAGGTGGGTGGGGATCCCCCAATTGAGGAGGGGGTCCCTCAAGAAGAGGAGAGACCCCCAAAACCTCCTCAAATCCCCCCAGGTGTGCATTGATGAGCCCCCCACCTGCCCAGGTCCCTTCCTTGGGGTTCCCCCCCAAAATCCCCCAAATAAAGGGGGGTCCCCCCAGGTGTGTGGGTGTTCCCCAGGTGGGTGGGGGTCCCCCAAGTCCCTCCAGGTGAGGAGAGACCCCCAAAACCTCCCCAATGTGTGCCTGCACCACAAGAAGCCATCGGGGCCCTAAGCAACCATTCCAGGGGTTCCCCCCAAAACCCCCCAGAATTCCCCAATCAAGGGGGGGTTCCCCAACTCAGGGGGGTTCCCCAGGTGGGTGGGGGTCCCCCAAGCCCCTCCAGGTGAGGAGAGACCCCCAAAAACCTCCCCAAATCCCCCCAGGTGTGCCCTGACCTGCACCACAAGGTCCCATTGGGCCCTAAGCGACCGTTCCAGGGGTTCCCCCCAAAACCCCCCCAAAATCCCCCAATCAAGGGGGGTCCCCAATTAAGAGGGGGTTCCCCAGGTGGGTGGTGATCCCCCAATTGAGTAGGGGGTCCCCCAAGTCCCTCAAGATGAAGAGAGACCCCCAAAACCTCCCCAAAGCCCCCCAGGTGTGCCCTCACCTGCACCACAAGGTCCCATTGGGCCCCAAGCGGACCGTTCCAGGGGTTCCCCCAAAAAACCCCCCAAAATCCCCAATTAAAGGGGGGTCCCCCAGGTGTGTGGGTGTTCCCCAGGTGGGTGGGGGTCCCCCAAGTCCCTCCAGGTGAAGAGAGACCCCCAAAACCTCCCCCAAATCCCTCAGGTGTGCCCTGACCTGCACCACAAGGTCCCATTGGGCCCTAAGCGACCGTTCCAGGGGTTCCCCCCCAAAACCCCCCAAAATCCCCCAATTATGGGGGGTCCCCAATTAAGAAGGGGTTCCCCAGATGGGTGGGGGTCCCCCAAGTCCCTCCAGATGAGGAGAGCCCCCCAAAACCTCCCCAAGCTCCCCCCCCATGTGTGCCTGCACCACAAGGTGCCATTGGGTCCTAAGTGACCGTTCCAGGGGCTCCCCCCAAAACCCCCCAGAATCCCCCAATCAAGGGGGGGTTCCCCAACTCAGGGGGGTCCCCCAGGCGGGCAGGGGTCTCGGCAGCCCCCCCAGGTGTGTCTCACCTGCAGCACAGCGTTGATGAGCAGCAGATCATCCGCAGGTTTCCACCTGCCCAGGTCGCGGGGAGCGGGGCTGGGTTTGCTCTTCTTGAGCCTCTTGGGCAGCGCCGGGGGGGGCCCGGGCCCGGGGGGGGGCCGGGGGGGGGCACGGCCCGGGACACCTGGGGGGGGGGGGCAGGGGTGGGTGGCACCTGGGGGGCACCTGGGGGGCACCTGGGGGGTCCTGAGTGTGCCCAGGATGGCCCTGAGTGAGTGAGGGGGGCACAGGCTGGGACACCTGGGGGGGGGGGGCAGGGGTGGGTGGCACCTGGGGGGCACCTGGGGGGCACCTGGGGGGGTCCTGAGTGTGCCCAAGGTGGCCCTGAGTGAGTGAGGGGGGCACAGGCTGGGACACCTGGGGGGCACCTGGGGGGTCCTGAGGGTCCCCAGGATGTCCCTGGCTGACCCTAGGGAGGGGATCCCAAAACCCCCCTTTTCCCCAAATCTCCCTTTCCCCCAATCCCAAATCCCCCTTTTCCCCCAAATCTCCCAAATTCCCACCCTTTTCCCCAATTCCACCCATTTTCCCCCAAATTCCCATCTTTCCCCAAATCTCCCTTTTCCCCCAATCCCAAATTCCCATTTTCCCCCAATTCCCAGATTTTTCCCCCATATTCCCATTTTCCCCTGATTTCCCCCCATATTCCCATTCCCCCAAATTCCCACATTTTCCCCCAAATTCCCGTTTTTCCCCCAAATTCCCCTATTCCCCCCAAATTCTCCCCTTTTTTCCCCAAATTCCCCCTTTTTTCCCCAATTCCCCCCATTTTCCCCCAAATCCCCTTTCCCCCCACATCCCCTTTCCCCCAGTCCCAAATCCCCCATTTCCCCCAATTCCCCCAAATACCCATCCTATTTCCCCAATTCCCCCCATTTTCCCCCAAATCCTCCTTTTCCCCCATTCCAAATCCCCCATTTTCCCCCAAATCTCCCAATTCCCCTATTTTCCCCAATTCCCCCCCATTTCCCCCCAAATCCCCCTTTTCCCCCAAATCCCCATTTTCCCCCAGTCCCAAAATCCCATCTTCCCCCAAATCCCCCTTTCCCCAAATCCCCCTTTTCCCCCAATCCCAATCCCCCTTTTCCCCCAAATTCTCATAGTTTACCCCAAATTCCCATTATTTCCTCCTAAATTCCCATCTTTCCCCCAAATTCCCCCCATTTTCCCCCAAATCCCCATCTTTTCCCCCAAATCCCCCTTTTCCCCAATCCCAAATCCCCCATTTTCCCCCAAATCTCCCAAATTCCCACCCTTTTTCCCAATTCCCCCCCATTTTTCCCCCAAATTCCCATCTTTTCCCCATTCCCCCCCATTTTCCCCCGAATTCCCATCTTTCCCCCCAAATTCCCCCCATTTTCCCCCAAATTCCCATCTTTTCCCCAATTCCCCCTCTCCCCCAGTCCCAAATCCCCCATTTTCCCCCAAATCTCCCAAATTCCCCTCTTTTCCCCAATTCCACCCATTTTCCCCCAAATCCCCCTTTTCCCCCTCCAATCCCAATCCCCCTTTTCCCCCAAATCCCCTTTTCCCCCAATCCCAAATCCCCCTTTTTCCCCAAATCTCCCAAATTCCCCTATTTCCCCAATTCCCCCCATTTTCCCCCAAATCTCCCTTTTCCCCCAATCCCAAATCCCCCTTTTCCCCCAAATCTCCCAAATTCCCATCTTTTCCCCAATTCCCCCCATTTCCCCCCAAATCCCCATCTTTTCCCCAAATCCCCCTTTTCCCCCAATCCCAAATCCCCCTTTTCCCCAAATCTCCCTTTTCCCCCAATCCCAAATCCCCCTTTTCCCCCAAATCCCCCTTTTCCCCCAATCCCAAATCCCCCATTTTCCCCCAAATCTCCCAAATTCCCACCCTTTTTCCCAATTCCCCCCCATTTTCCCCCAAATCCCCCTTTTCCCCCAAATCCCCCTCTCCCCCAATCCCAAATCCCCCTTTTCCCCCAAATCTCCCAAATTCCCACCTTTTTCCCCAATTCCACCGATTTTCCCCCAAATCCCCATCTTTTCCCCAAAATCCCCCTTTTCCCCCAGTCCCAAATCCCCCTTTTCCCCCAAATCTCCCCAAATTCACCTATTTTCCCCCAATTCCCCCCCATTTTCCCCCAAATCCCCATCTTTTCCCCAAATCCCCCTTTTCCCCAATCCCAAATCCCCCTTTTCCCCCAAATCTCCCTTTTCCCCCAATCCCAAATCCCCCTTTTCCCCCCAAATCTCCCAAATTCCCCTCTTTTCCCCAATTCCCCCCCATTTTCCCCTCAAATTCCCATATTTTTCCCCCCAAATTCCCATTTTTTCCCCCCAAATTCCCCCCTTTTTCCCCAAATACCCCCTTTTCCCCCCAAATTCCCCTATTCCCCCCCCCAAATTCCCCTACTTTCCCCCCCAAATTCCCACATTTTTCCCCAAATTCCCCCCTTTTTTCCCAAATTCCCCCCTTTTTTCCCCCAAATTCCCCCCTTTTTTCCCCAAATTCCCCCCTTTTTTCCCCAAATTCCCCCCTTTTTTCCCCAAATTCTCCACCTTTTTTCCCCAAATTCCCCCTTTTTTTCCCCACCTTTTTCCTCTCTCCCGGGGGGGGGCTCGGCGGCCGCCCCTCCCCCCCCCGCCGGCCCCGCGGCCCCCCCGGGTCTGGGGGGGGGCTCGGGACCCCCCTTGGCCCTCGAGGACTTGGCCAGGCCTGGACTCGACCAGCTCATCGTCGAACTTGCGCCTCTTGATGAACCTAAACACCAAACTGGGATGGACTGGGAGGGACTGGGATGCACTGGGAGGGAGCTGGGATTGACTGGGATTGACTGGGATTGACTGGAGTTAACTGGGATTGACTGGGATTGACTGGGAGGGCACTGGGGGCTTGGCCAGGCTGGACTCGACCAGCTCATCGTCGAACTTGCGCCTCTTGATGAACCTAAACACCAAACTGGGATGCACTGGGAGACACTGGGAGACACTGGGAGCCACTGGGAGGGGAGTGGGAACCACTGGGATTGACTGGGATTGACTGGGTTAAACTGGGATTGATTGGGGTTAACTGGGATTGACTGGGAGGGACTGGGAGGGGACTGGGGGCTTGGCCAGGCTGGACTCGACCAGCTCATGGTTGAATTTCCACCTCTTGATGAACCTAAACACCAAACTGGGATGGACTGGGAGACACTGGGAGGGACTGGGAACCACTGGGAACCACTGGGAGTGGAGTAGGAGCCACTGGGATTGACTGGGATTGACTGGGATTGACTGGGATTGACTGGGAGGGGACTGGGGGCTTGGCCAGGCTGGACTCGACCAGCTCATCGTCGAACTTGCGCCTCTTGATGAACCTAAACACCAAACTGGGATGGACTGGGATGGACTGGGATGGACTGGGAGCCACTGGGAGGGAGCTGGGATTGACTGGGATTGACTGGAGTTAACTGGGATTAACTGGGAGGGACTGGGAGGGCACTGGGGGGCTTGGCCAGGCTGGACTCGACCAGCTCATCGTCGAACTTGCGCCTCTTGATGAACCTAAACACCAAACTGGGATGGACTGGGAGGGACTGGGAGCCACTGGGAGCCACTGGGAGTGGAGTAGGAGCCACTGGGATTGACTGGGTTAAACTGGGATTGGACTGGGATTGACTGGGAGGGCACTGGGGGGCTTGGCCAGGCTGGACTCGACCAGCTCATGGTTGAACTTGCGCCTCTTGATGAACCTAAACACCAAACTGGGGATGGACTGGGGATGGACTGGGAGCCACTGGGAGGGACTGGGAACCACTGGGAGGGAGCTGGGATTGACTGGGAGGGACTGGAGTTAACTGGGATTGACTGGGATTGACTGGGATTGACTGGGAGGGCACTGGGGGGGCTTGGCCAGGCTGGACTCGACCAGCTCATGGTTGAATTTCCACCTCTTGATGAACCTAAACACCAAACTGGGATGGACTGGGAGACACTGGGAGACACTGGGAGGGACTGGGAACCACTGGGAACCACTGGGAACCACTGGGAGTGGAGTAGGAGCCACTGGGATTGACTGGGATTGACTGGGATTAACTGGGAGGGCACTGGGGGGCTTGGCCAGGCTGGACTCGACCAGCTCATGGTCGAACTTGCGCCTCTTGATGAACCTAAACACCAAACTGGGATGGACTGGGAGACACTGGGAGACACTGGGAGGGAGCTGGGATTGACTGGGATTGACTGGGATTGACTGGAGTTAACTGGATTGACTGGGAGGGGACTGGGAGGGCACCGGGGGCTTGGCCAGGCTGGACTCGACCAGCTCATGGTTGAACTTGCGCCTCTTGATGAACCTAAACACCAAACTGGGATGCACTGGGATGGACTGGGAGACACTGGGAGACACTGGGAGACACTGGGAGCCACTGGGAGGGGAGTGGGAACCACTGGGATTGACTGGGATTGACTGGGATTGACTGGGAGGGACTGGGAGGGCACTGGGGGGTTTGGCCAGGCTGGAGTCGACCAGCTCATGGTTGAACTTGCGCCTCTTGATGAACCCAAACACCCAAACTGGGATGCACTGGGAGGGACTGGGATGGACTGGGAGGGACTGGGAGACACTGGGAGGGAGCTGGGATTGACTGGAGTTAACTGGGATTGACTGGGATTGACTGGGAGGGCACTGGGGGGCTTGGCCAGGCTGGACTCGACCAGCTCATGGTTGAATTTCCACCTCTTGATGAACCTAAACACCAAACTGGGATGGACTGGGAGACACTGGGAGGGACTGGGAGCCACTGGGAGGGAGCTGGGATTGATTGGAGTTAACTGGGATTAACTGGGATGGACTGGGAGGGCACTGGGGAGCTTGGCCAGGTTGGACTCCACCAGCTCATGGTCAAACCTGCGCCTCTTGATGAACCTGGGATGGACTGGGAGGGACTGGGAGGGACTGGGATGGACTGGGAGGGAGCACAGGGTCCCCCTGGAGTGTCCCCAAGCCCCTCCCCCGTGTCCACCTCCCTGTGTCCCCTCCCCTGTGTCACCTCCCAGTGTCCCCTCCCTGTCCCCAGTGTCCCTTACCTGGAGGAGCTGCGCCGTTTGGGGACAGTCCCCACGGGGGTGGCCGGGCCCCGCTTGGGCCCTGCCAGGGACTCCTCGTCCTCTGAGCGGCTGGTGGCCATGGTGGCATCTGGGGACACAGCAATGTCACCCCAGTGTCACCCCGGTGTCACCTGTGTCACCCCAGGGGTGACACCACACTTGGGGGGGCAGGTTGGGGACGCAGGGGAGGGGACAGGGAAGGGACAAAGGACCCTCAGTGCCACCTCCCTGGGTGCCACCACACCCTGGGGGACACTGAGAGACACCTGGGGACAGCAGAGGGGACACCGGAAGGGACTGGGGACAAGATGGGGACACAGAGGGGACACGAGCGGTGTGGGGACACTGAGGGGACAATGAAGTGACCCTGAGGGGCACGGGGGTGACAGGAGGGGGCTGGGAACACTGAGGTGACACTGAGAGGACACGAGGAGGGCGCGGGGCCCTCACGGCGCCCCCCAGCCCCAAACCCGGGCCTGGCGCAGGCGCGATCCCGACCCCCCCCGCCCAAACCGCCACCACCGGCGTCCTCAAGGCCCTCCCGGTGTCCCCAAAGCCCCTCCCCGGTGTCCCCACAGCCCCTCCCGGTACCCCCAAAGCCCCTCCCCGGTGTCCTCAAGGCCCCCCCCGGCCTCACCAGCTCCGGGAGCTCCCGGCCGCCATGGCCGCGCCACTTCCGGCCCGCGCCGGAAGAAGAATGACGTCGCCGGCGCCGCCATGTTGGAGATTCCGGTGAGGCCTCAGAGTGCGGCGCCATCTTGAGTGTGGGCAGGGCCGCGCTGGTGGCGCTTCGGGCGCCGTTACCGGGGTTGTGGAGGGTCCGGAGCGGCCGGGACGGACCCGTGAGGTGAGGACGTGTCCGTTTAGTCCGGGAGATACGGCCGGGACTGACGGAGAAACAGCAACTCCCATCATGGCAGCTGCCACAACCAACATGGCGGCTGCCATAACCAACATGGCGGCCTTAAAACCATCATGGCGGCTGTCACAACCAACATGGCGGCCTCCCTCATTCATCATGGCGGTCGCCACACCCATAATGGCGGCCTTAAACCATCATGGCGGCTGCCACACCCATCATGGCGGCCTTAAAACCATCATGGCGGCTGCCACACCCCATCATGGCGGCCTTAAACCATCATGGCGGCCGCCACACCCATCATGGCGGCCTTAAACCAACATGGCGGCCTTAACCCAACATGACACCCATCATGGCGGCCTCCACACCCATCATGGCGGCAATCCCTGGACACTGAAGAAGCACTCGGGGTCAATGTGGGGTCAGCGCCTTTTATTGGGGACAAAAAGTGACCCGTGGGGACAAAGTGACCCCCGGGGCCAAACTGACCCCTGGGGCCATGGCTCTGTCCGGCCACTGCCCATTGTGGGAGCTCCAGGACATGGCGGGGCCTCCATGGGGCACAGCCAGGGATCATCCCTGTCCCTGTCCTGTGTCCGTGTCCCCTGTCCCCTGTCCTGTGTCCGTGTCCGTGTCCTTTCTCCCTTATCCCATGTCCTGAGTGCATCACATGAACATCCCGAGTCCACCCTGTGTCCACCCTGGATGTCCTTGGGTGGATCTGGGTGTCCGTGGTCTGTCCCTGTCCCTGTCCCTGTCCTGTCCCTCTGTGTCCATCTTGGGTCCATCTCTGTGTCCATTTGTCCGTGTCCTGTGTCCCTCCTGTGTCCATACCCCGTGTCCATTTGTCCATCCCCACGTCCACCCCTGTGTCCATCCCTGTGTCCATTTGTCCATCCCCACATCCATCCCCATGTCCATTTGTCCATACCCGTGTCCATCCCACATCCATCCCCATGTCCATTTGTCCATCCCGAATCCATCCCATGTCCATCCCCGTGTCTGTGCCGTGTCCATCTGTCTGTGCCGTGTCCATCCCTGTGTCCATCCCGTGTCCATTTCTCCATGTCCATTTGTCCATCCTGTGTCCACCCCTGTGTCCATTTGTCCATCCCCACGTCCATCCCCATGTCCATTTGTCCATCCCCGTGTCCATCCCGTGTCCATCCCCGTGTCTGTGCCGTGTCCATCTGTCTGTGCCGTGTCCAACCCTGTGTCCATCCCGTGTCCATTTCTCCATGTCCCGTGTCCATTTGTCCATCCTGTGTCCACCCCTGTGTCCATTTGTCCATCCCCACGTCCATCCCCATGTCCATTTGTCCATCCCCGTGTCCATCCCATGTCCATCCCCGTGTCTGTGCTGTGTCCATCTGTCCGTGCCATGTCTGTCTGTCTGTGGGTGTCCATCAGACGGGTCTGGGTGCAGTGCTGTCTCTGTCTCTCCCCGTGTCCATCTGTCCATTCGTGCCGTGTCCGTCTGTCCACGCCGTGTCCGTCTCTCCAGCCGTGTCCGTCTGTCCATGCCGTGTCCGTCTGTCCATGCCGTGTCCATCTGTCCATGCCGTGTCCGTCTCTCCAGCCGTGTCGTCTGTCCACGCCGTGTCCGTCAGGCGGGCCCCGGGCGCGGTGCCGTCCCTGTCCCTGTCCGTGGGTCCCTCCCATGTCCACGCCGTGTCCATCCCTGTGTCCGTGCCGTGTCCATCCCCGTGTCCGTGCCGTGTCCGTCTCTCCAGCCATGTCCGTCTCTCCATGCCGTGTCTGTCTGTCCAGCCATGTCCGTCTGGTCCACGCCGTGTCCGTCAGGCGGGCCCGGGCGCGGCGCCGTCCCCGTCCCTGTCCGTGGGTCCGGCCGCCCACTGTGGCCGCAGGATGGTCCCGGTGTGGCCCTCGCGGGCCTGCGGCCGCTGCTCCCGGGGGATTCGCACGGCCCGGAACCGCGGCCACGGCCGGGGGCGGGGCCGCCGCCGCCCGCCGGAAAAATCCCAGCTGGGGGAGACAGGGCACGCAGATATCGCGACATGGCAGCGGCCAGCGCGGGGTATATCGCGACATGGCACTGGACAGAGTGATATATCGTGATATGGCATCAGACAGAGGGATATATCGCGATATGGCACCGGACAGAGTGAGATATATCACGATATGGCACCAGACAAACTGAGATATATCGCGATATGGCACCCAACAGAGTGAGATATTGCGATATGGCACTGGACAGAGTGAGATATCACAATATGGTACAGGACAGAGTGATATATCGCAACATGGCACTGGACAGAGTGATATATTGCGATATGGCACCAGACAGAGTGAGATATCACAACATGACACCGGACAGAGTGATATATCACAACATGGCACTGGACATAGTGATATATCATGATATGGCACCAGACAGAGTGAGATATCGCGATATGGCACTGGACATAGTGATATATCGTGATATGGCACCAGACACAGTGAGATATCACGATATGACACTGGACACAGTGAGATATCGCAATACAGCACCAGGCAGTGTGGGGTATATCATGACACGGCACCAGAGAGCGTGAGATATCGTGCCATGGCACTGGACAGCAAGGGAGATATCGCGATATGGCACTGGAGAGCACAGGACATCGCCATATGGCACCAGAGGGCATGGGATATATCGTGATATGGCACCAGACAGTGTGAGATATCACGATATGGTGCTGGACAGCGAGGGGTATATCGTGATATGCCGCACTGTGTCGTGCCCTATCGCGATGTGCTGAGCTCTGTGGCGCCATATATCGCGATATGCCGTGCCGTATGGTGCCATATCGCGATAGCAGGGGGGTCCCTCACCTTCCAGAGCCCCAGCACGAGCAGCGCCAGCAGCAGCAGCCCCAGCAGCACCGCCAGGGGCAGCACCCACCAGGGGACGGCGGTGACGGCCACGCCCGGGTCCAGGTGCAGGGACACCGACATCTGCGGGGGTCACAGGGGTCACCCAGGGGTCATTGGGGTCACCCAGGGGACACTGGGGTCACGGGGATCAATGGGGCCATGGGGACATCAAGGGGGACTGGAGGGGCTTGGGGACATCGGGGGCTGGGGGCGCTGGGGGGATCCTGGGGGGGTTCTGGGGGGTCTGGGGGTGTCCAGGAGGTCCCAGGGGTATCTGGGGGTGTCTGGGAGTGTCCAGAGGTGTCCTAAGGTGTCCCTGAGGGTGTCCCCAGGGTGTCCCCAGGAGTGTCCCCAGAGGTGTCCCCAGAGGTGTCCCAGGTGTTCCTGAAGGTGTCCCCAGGGGTGTTCGAGGGTCCCGGGTGTCCCCAGAGGTGTCCCCAGAGGTGTCCCCAGGTGTTCCTGAAGGTGTCCCCAGGGGTGTTCGAGGGTCCCCAGGTGTCCCCAGGGGTGTTCCCAGGAGTGTCTGAGGGTCCCCAGGGGTGGCCCCAAGTGTCCCCAGGGGTGTCCCCGGGTGTCCCCGGGCGTGTCCCCCACCTGATGCCACCGCGTCCCTGATGACAACGTTGCCGCGGGGGGAGGAGACCGAGACCCGGCGCGCACGATCAGCTCCAGGTTTCTCCACGTCCAGGAACTCCTGGGATGGGATTTGGGGAATTTGGGATTTGGGGGATTGGGGATTGGGGAATTGGGGAATTGGGGAATTGGGGATTTGGGGAATTGGGGATTGGGGGATTGGGGATTTGGGAATTGGGGATTTGGGGATTTGGGGAATTTGGGAATTGGCAAATTAGGGATTTGGGGAATTGGGATTTGGCGTTTTGGGGATTTGGGGGTTTTGGGGATTTGGGGAATTGGGGAATTGGGGAACTGGGAATTGGGGGATTGGGGAATTGGGGGATTGGGGGATTTGGGGGATTGGGGATTTGGGGAATTGGGGAATGGGGATTTGGGGAATTGGGGATTTGGGGAATTTGGGATTTGGGGGATTGGGGATTGGGGATTGGGGATTTGGGGATTGGGGAATTGGGGATTTGGGGAATTGGGGAATTGGGGAATTGGGGAATTGGGGATTTGGGGTCCAGGCCGGGCTGAGCCCCCCTCCCCACCCACCCCGGGGGTCTCTCGCTGACCTCCAGGAAGGTCCCGTTCCAGAGGCGGCCCCGCGCCCGCAGCTCCGAGCGCTCCAGCGACGGCAGCGGGGCACCGGAACGGGCGGCAGCGCGCCGTGCCCCGGGCACAGTCCTGGGACAGCCAGGGGGACAGTGAGGGGACAGCGTGGGGACAGTGAGGGGACAGCGTGGGGACAGTGAGGGGACAGTGAGGGGACAGTGTGGGGACAGCCAGGGGACAGCGTGGGGACATCCCAGGGGTGTGGGGACATCCCAGGAACAGGGGGACATCCCGGGGATTGGGGGACATCCCAGGAACAGGGGGACATCCCGGGGATTGGGGGACACCAGAACGGGCGAGGGGACAGTGAGGGGACAGCATGGGGACATCCCAGGGGTGTGGGGACATCCCAGGAACAGGGGGACATCCCGGGGATTGGGGGACACCAGAACAGGCGGCAGCACAGCCCTGGGACAGTGAGGGGACAGTGAGGGGACACCTTGGGGGTAGGGGGACACTGTGGGGACATCCCAGGGATGGCGGGGGGGACATCCCAGGAGTGGGGACAGCCCGGGAGTGGGGGGACACCAGAACAGGGCAGGACAGAGCAGGGGGACACCCCAGGAGTGGGGACAGCCCGGGAATGGGGACACCCAGGGAATGGGGACACCCAGGGAATGGGGAGACTGGGAGTGGGGGGACACCAGAACAGGGCAGGACAGAGCAGGGGGACACCAGGAATGGAGTGACCCCGGGAATGGGGACACCCCGGGAATGGGGACACCCCGGGAATGGGGACACCCCGGGAATGGAGTGACCTCAGAATGGGGACAGCCCGGGAATGGGGACACCCCGGGAATGGGGACACCCCGGGAATGGGGACACCCCAGGAATGGGGACAGCCCAAAATGGGGCACTGGGACCACAGGGGAACAGAGGCCCCCCCCCAAAGGAGGAGGACCCCAAACCCCATAGGGGCCCCCCCTGAGCAGGGCCCCCCCTCACCAGGGTCACGTTCCTCCTCTTCCTCCCCGCGGGCACCCACCACGAGCGGGCCGGGGGCTCCTCAGGGGGGCCCTCCCGGCCTGGTGACTCCTGGGGGGGCAAAGATGGGGTGGGACAGGGACCCCCGGGCACCCCCGGGCACTCCTGGACACCCCCAGGCACCTTTGGCCACCCTTGGACATCCCTGGGTACCCCCTGGTCACCCCTGGACACCCCCTGGACACCCCTTGGACACCCCAGGATACCCCCAGGACACCTCTGGCCACCCCTGGACACCTTTGGCCACCCCTGGACACCCCCTGGACACCTCTGGAGACCCCTTGGACATCTCTGGCCACCTTTGGCCACCCCTGGACACTGCCTGGGCACCCCAGGACACCCCAGGACACCCCAGGACACCCCCAGGACACCTTTGGCCACCTTTGACAATCCCTGGCCATCCCTGGACACCCTGTGGCCACTCCTGGACACCTTTGGCCACCCCTGGCCACCCCTTGGACACCTCTGGACACCCCTGATCACCCCTGGTCACCCCAGGACATCTCTGGACACCCCTGGACACCCCTGGCCACCTCTGGACACCTCTGGCCACCCCTGGACATCCCTTGGACATCTCTGGACACCCCTGTTCCCCCCTGTCCCCCTTTCCCCCCCTGTCCCCCCTGTCCCCTCTGTCCCCCCTGTGTCCCCTGTCCCTCCCTGTCCCCCCTGTCCCCCCTGTCCCCCCCCTGTCCCCCTGTGTCCCCCCCCTGTCCCCCCTGTGTCCCCTGTGTCCCCTGTGCCCCCTTGTCCCCCCCTGTGCCCCCTGTGCCCCCTGTGCCCCCCAGGCTCACCAGGGCGAGGTGCAGGGGGTTTCCTGGGGGGCTGCAGGGCACGGGGGGGGTGCCCAGCTCCAGGCTCAGGGGGTACAGGAGCCATTTCCCATTGGGCAGCTCCAGCGGCCACTGCACGGTCAGGGCGGCCGAGCCGGGGCTCCTCAGCACCGGCCCCCGCTGCGACACCTGGGGGGGACCCCGGGGGGTGACCCCAAAAACAGCCAGGAGCCCAGAAACAGCCAAAAACAGACAGGACCCCAAAAACAGCCAAAAACAGCCAGGACACCAAAAACAGCCAGGAGCCCACAAACAGCCAAAAACAGACAGGACCCCAAAAACAGCCAAAAACAGCCAGGACACCACAAACAGCCAGGACCCCAAAAACAGCCAAAAACAGCCAGGACCCCAAAAACAGCCCCTGAGCCCAAAAACAGCCAGGACCCCAAAAACAGCCAAAAACAGCCAGGACCCCAAAAACAGCCCCAAGCCCAAAATCAACCCCGAGCCCAAAAACAGCCCCTGCATGGAGCCATGAACCCAAAAACAGCCCCGAGCCCAAAAACAGCCCCCAACCCCAAAAACAGCCCTGAGCCCAAAAACAGCCAAAACCAGCCAGGACCCCAAAAACAGCCCCCAACCCCAAAAACAGCCCCTGCATGGAGCCATGACCCCAAAAACAGCCAGGACCCCAGAAACAGCCCCCAACCCCAAAAACAGCCAAAAACAGCCAGGACCCCAAAAACAGCCCCAAGCCCAAAAACAGCCCCCAACCCCAAAAACAGCCCCTGCATAGAGCCATGACCCCAAAACCAGCACCCAAGCCTAAAACCAAGCCCCGAGCCCAAAAACAGCCCTGTATGGAGCCATGACCCCAAAATCAACTCCCACCCCAAAATCAACCCTGAGCCCAAAATCAACCCCGACCCCAAAAACAGCCCCGAGCCCAGAAACAGCCCCAATCCCAAAACCAACCCCTGTATGGAACCTTGACCCCAAAATCAACCCTGACCCCAAAACCAACCCTTTATGGAGCCCCGACCCCATTTTGGTTTTGGGATCCTGGGGCAGTGGGGTGGTCTCCGTTTTGGGACCCATTTTGGGGGGTCACCATTTGGGGGTCTCTGTTTTAGGGTCCGTTTCGGGGTCTGTAATTTTGGGGTCTGTAATTTTGGGGGTCTCTGTTTTAGGGTCTGTTTTGGGGTCTCCAATTTTGGGGTCTCTGTTTTAGGGTCCGTTTTGGGGTCTCCATTTTGGGGTCTCTGTTTTAGGGTCCATTTTGGGGTCTGTAATTTGGGGTCTCTATTTTAGGGTCCGTTTCGGGGTCTGTAACTTTGGGGGTCTCCATATTGGGGTCTCTGTTTTAGGGTCCGTTTTGGGGTCTGTAATTTGGGGTCTCTGTTTTAGGGTCTGTAATTTTGGAGTCTATTATTTTGGGGTCTCTATTTTAGGGTCCATTTTGGGGTCTGTAATTTGGGGGTCTCTATTTTAGGGTCTGTAATTTTGGGGTCTCCATATTGGGGGTCTCTGTTTTAGGGTCTGTTTTGGGGTCTGTAACTTTGGGGTCTGTAATTTTGGGGTCTCCATATTGGGGGTCTCTATTTTAGGGTCCGTTTTGGGGTCTCCATTTTGGGGTCTCTGTTTTAGGGTCTGTTTTGGGGTCCGTAATTTTGGGGTCTGTAATTGGGGGTCTCTGTTTTAGGGTCCGTTTTGGGGTCTGTAATTTTGGGGTCACCATTTTGGGGTCTCTGTTTTAGGGTCCATTTTGGGGTCTCTGTTTTAGGGTCCGTTTTGGGGTCTCTGTTTTAGGGTCCGTTTTGGGCTCTGTAATTTTGGGGTCTCCATTTTGGGGTCTCTGTTTTAGGGTCCGTTTTGGGGTCTGTAATTTTTGAGTCTGTAATTTTGGGGTCTCTGTTTTAGGGTTTGTTTTAGGGTCTGTAATTTGGGGTCTCTGTTTTAGGGTTTGTTTTAGGGTCGGTAATTTTGGGGTCTGTAACTTTGGGGCTCTCTCACCGTGACCTCGAAGCGGACGGCGCTGCCCACCTGGCTCTCCCTCTTCACCGCGCTCTCCCCCAGCACCTGCCCCCCAAAAAACAGCCTGGGGGGCACGGCCACGCTGTGGGGACACCCCTGCTGTGAGGAGGGGGGCGGTCCCGACCCCAAAACCGCCCCCGGGCACCCCAAAACCCCGACCCCACTGACCCGGTGACGGCCAGGGGCAGCTCGATGACCACGCGGGCGCGGGCGACCACCGGCTCCAGCCCCCGGCTGCTCGCTGGTCCTGGGGGGGATTTGGGCTTGGGAGGGTGAAACCCCAAAAGGAAAAACCCCAAGGCCGTGCGGGGGGGGTGGGACCCCAAATCGCAGCCCCCCGACCCTAAATGTTGGGGGGCTGGGGGGTGAAAATGCCGGGGTTTTGTTCCCGAGTCCTGCGGGGATCTGGTACCCAAATCGTGGGGTTTGATCCCAAATCCCCTGGGATTCCAGCTCCCAAACCCAGGGGTCTCTGAACCCCAAATCCTGGGGTTTGATCCCAAATCCCCCGGGATTCCAGCCCCCAAATCCCCCGGGATTCCAGCCCCCAAATCCCCTGGGATTCCAGCCCGCAAATCCCCTGGGATTCCAGCCCCCAAATCCTGCAGGGATCTGAACCCCAAACCCTGGGGGTCTGACCCCAAATCGTGGGGTTTGATCCCAAATCCCCCGGGATTCCAGCCCGCAAATCCCCCGGGATTCCAGCCCCCAAATCCTGGGGTCTCTGAACCCCAAATCCTGGGGGTCTGACCCCAAATCCCCTGGGATTCCAGCCCGCAAATCCCCCGGGATTCCAGCCCCCAAATCCTGGGGTCTCTGAACCCCAAATCCCCTGGGATTCCAGCCCCCAAATCCCCCAGGATTCCAGCCCCCAAATCCTGGGGGTCTGACCCCAAATCCTGGGGGCTCTGAACCCCAAATCCTGGGGGTCTGACCCCAAATCCCCCGGGATTCCATTCCCCAATCCCGGGGGTCCCCATCCCCAATCCCGGGGGTCTCCATCCCCACTTTGGGGGTCTCCATCCCCAATCCCGGGGGTCTCCAGCCCCACTTTGGGGGTCCCCATCCCCAATCCCGGGGGTCTCCATGCCCCCAGTCCCAGGATCCCCAAACCCCAGGGGTCTCCATGCCCAATCCCGGGGGTCCCCAGCCCCACTTTGGGGGTCTCCATCCCCACTTTGGGTGTCCCACCCCCACCCCGGGTGTCCCCATCCCCAATCCCGGGGGTCTCCATCCCCAGTCCCGGGGTCTCCATCCCCACTTTGGGGGTCTCTATCCCCATTTTGGGGGTCTCCATCCCCACTTTGGGGGGTCCCATCCCCACCCCGGGGGTCTCCATCCCCACTTTGGGGGTCTCCATCCCCAATCCCGGGGGTCCCATCCCCAATCCCGGGGGTCTCCATCCCCACTGTGGGGGTCCCATCCCCACCCCGGGGATCTCCATCCCCCCCAATCCCGGGGGTCTCCATCCCCAATCTCAGGATCCCCAAACCCCAGGGGTCTCCATGCCCCAATCCCGGGGGTCTCCATCCCCACTTTGGGGGTCCCATCCCCAATCCCGGGGGTCCCATCCCCACTTTGGGTGTCCCATCCCCAATCCCGAGGGTCTCCATCCCCACTTTGGGGGTCCCATCCCCAATCCCGGGGGTCTCCATCTCCAATCCCGGGGGCCCCCAGCCCCACTTTGAGGGTTCCCAGCCCCACTTTGGGGTCCATGCCCCAATCCCGGGGGTCTCCATCCCCCACTTTGGGGGTCTCCATACCCCCAATCCCAGGGGTCTCCATCCCCAATCTCGGGATCCCCAAACCCCAGGGGTCTCCATCCCCAATCCCGGGGGTCCCCAGTCCCAGCTCACGTGGACAGCTCCAGCAGCACCTGCAGCTCCGTGGTGTGGACGGAGACGCCCGAGGTGCTGAGGATGAGGAAGAAGCGCACCTGGGGAGGGGCAGGTGAGCGCTGGGGGGGGTGGGCAGGGTGGGGGAGGGTCGGGGGGGGTGGGGAGGGGTCTGCGCCCACCTGGGCCCCGCGTTTGAGGGGGTTCCCCAGCTCGCACTCCACCCTGGAGCCGTTCGCGTTGGCCAAGCACAAAACCCTGTCCTGGGGAGGGGGGACACAGGGCTGAGCCCCCCTGGGGCACCCGGGGTGACACCAGAGTGACACCAGTGACACCAGAGACCTCAGAGTGACACCAGAGTGACCCCAGGGTGACACCAGAGACCTCAGAGTGACCCCAGAGTGACCCAGAGTGTCCCAGAGTGACTCCAGAGTGACCCAGAGTGACCCAGAGTGACCCCAGAGTGACCCAGAGTGACCCAGAGTGACCCAGAGTGTCCCCAGTGACCTCAGAGTGACACCAGAGTGACACCAGTGACACCAGAGTGACACCAGAGTGACACCAGAGAGACCCCAGTGACACCAGAGTGACCCAGAGTGACCCCAGGGTGACACCAAAGTGACACCAGAGAGACCCCAGGGTGACACCAGAGACCTCAGAGTGACACCAGAGTGACCCCGGGGTGACTCCAGAGTGACCCACAGTGACCCCAGAGTGTCCCCAGTGACCTCAGAGTGACACCAGTGACCCCAGGGTGACCCCAGAGTGTCCCCAGAGTGACCCCAGGGTGACACCAGAGACCCCAGAGTGACCCAGAGTGACACCAGAGTGACACCAGAGTGACCCCAGAGTGATCCCAGTGACTTCAGAGTGACCCCAGAGTGACCCCCAGTGACCCCAACTCTGAGGGGACCCCAGAGTGACCCCATTGTCCCTGAAGGCCCCCCAGGGTCAGCCCCAGAACTGTCCCCGTCCCCTGTGTCCCCTGTCCCCTGTCCCCAGCTGTCCCCCCCCATCCCTGTCCCCATCCCTGTCCCTGTTCCCAGTGTCCCCAGTGTCAGTGTCCCCAGTGTCCCCCTGTCCCCCCTGTCCCCCGTGCCCCGTCTCACCGCGCTCTCCTCGGCCCTGATGGCAGTGTCCCCCATGTCCCCAATGTCCCCTGTGTCCCCCGTATCCCCAGTGTCCCCCGTGTCCCCCCTGTCCCCCCCTGTCCCCAATGTACCCCATGTCCCCCAAGTCCCCAGTGTCCCCTGTGTCCCCGTCTCACCGCGCTCTCCTTGGCCCTGATGGCAGTGTCCCCCAGTGTCCCCCGTGTCCCCAGTGTCCCCAGTGTCCCCCCTGTCCCCCTGTCCCCCCCTGTCCCCGTGTCCCCGTCTCACCGCGCTCTCCTTGGCCCTGATGGCAGTGTCCCCCAGTGTCCCCCGTGTCCCCAGTGTCCCCAGTGTCCCCCCTGTCCCCGTGTCCCCGTCTCACCGCGCTCTCCTCGGCCGGATGGCAGTGTCCCCAGTGTCCCCCATGTCCCCAGTGTCCCCCATGTCCCCCCCTGTCCCCCCCTGTCCCCCTGTCCCCGTCTCACCGCGCTCTCCTCGGCCCGGATGGCAGTGTCCCCTGTGTCCCCAGTGTCCCCAGTGTCCCCCATGTCCCCCCTGTCCCTGTGTCCCCGTCTCACCGCGCTCTCCTCGGCCCTGATGGCAGTGTCCCCCATGTCCCCAGTGTCCCCCCTGTCCCCGTGTCCCCGTCTCACCGCGCTCTCCTCGGCCCCGGATGGCGGCGTAGGGCAGCTCCGGGGGCAGCGATGCCACCAGCAGGGCCTGGTGGGCGTCGTCCCCGTCCCTGTGCGGCTGCGCGGGGTCCGAGGGCTCGTTGGTCACCTGCAGCTCCAGGGCCACGTCCTTCTGGTCACTGATGGCCAAGATGGCAGCGCCGTCCTCGTCCCTGCGGGCACAGCCACCTGTCACCCCTGGGGACATCCCTGGGTGCTCACACAGAGGTGGCAGTGCCACCTGTGACCCTTGGGGACATCCCTGGGTGCTCACACAGAGGTGGCAGTGCCACCTGTGACCCTTGGGGACATCCTTGGGTGCTCAGGGTGAAGGTGACAGTGCCACCTGTGACCCCTGGGGACATCCTTGGGTGCTCACACAGAGGTGACAGTGCCACGTGTGACCCCTGGGGACATCCCCGGGTGCTCACACAGAGGTGGCAGTGCCACATGTGACCCTTGGGGACATCCCTGGGTGCTCAGGGTGAAGGTGGCAGTGCCACCTGGGGACATCCCTGGGTACTCACACAGAGGTGGCAGTGCCACCTGTGACCCTTGGGGACATCCCTGGGTACTCCACACAGAGGTGGCAGTGCCACCTGTCACCCCTGGGGACATCCCTGGGCGCTCACACAGAGGTGGCAGTGCCACGTGTGACCCCTGGGGACATCCCCGGGCGCTCAGGGTGAAGGTGGCAGTGCCACGTGTGACCCTTGGGGACATCCCTGCTCCCTCAGGGTGAAGGTGGCAGTGCCATCCTCGTCCCTGTCACTCCCTTGGGGACATCCCTGCTCCCTCACAGTGAGGTGGCAGTGCCATCCTCACCCCTGTGACCACCTTGGGGACATCCCCAGGCGTTCAGGGTGAAGGTGGCAGTGCCACGTGTGACCCCTGGGGACATCCCCGGGCGCTCACACAGAGGTGACAGTGCCACGTGTGACCCTTGGGGACATCCCTGGGCACTCAGGGTGAAGGTGGCAGTGCCACCCTCGTCCCTGTCACTCCCTTGGGGACACCCCAGGGCTCTCAGGGTGAAGGTGGCAGTGCCACCCTCGTCCCTGTCACTCCCATGGTGACACCCAGGGCTCCCCAGGGCAGTGACCCCAGGGTGGCAGTGCCACCCCCCCCCCCCGGTGGCTCTGTCCCCTCACGTGGGCAGGGCCAGGAAGTCGCTGTCCCCAAGGCGGGCGCAGAACCGCGGGCGCAGCTCCAGGTGGCTCTGGCAGATTCGGTCATCGCCGCAGCCCTGGCGCAGGAAATGCACCTGGGGGGACACAGGGGGACACAGGGGGACACTGCGGGGACACTGAGGGGACACAGGAGACATTGAGGGGACACTGCGGGGACACACACTGCGGGGGACACTGAGGGGACACTGAGGGGACACTGCGGGGACACTGTGGGGACACTGAGGGGACACTGCGGGGACACTGAGGGACACTTCAGGGACAACTGCAGGGACACAGGGGGACACAGTGACACAGGTGGGTGACACAGAGTGACACAGGGGTGTGACACAGGGGTGGCAGTGTCACCATGTCCCCACCTCGGTGTGCAGCGTGCTGGGCTGGCACAGGGGACGGGGGATGACACAGTGTGGCACAGGGGTGTGACACAGGGTGACACAGGGGTGTGACACAGGTGGGTGACCCAGTAGCACAGGGTGACCCAGGGTGACACAGGGGGTGACACAGGGGGTGACACAGAGGGTGGCAGTGTCACCGTGTCCCCACCTCGGTGCGCAGCGTGCTGGGCTGGCGCGGGGCTCAGCGCGGGGGACAGGGGGGGATGCAGTGACACACGGGGTGACCCAGGGTGACACAGGGTGACACAGGGTGACACAGTGACCCAGGGTGACACAGGGGGTGACACAGGGGGTGGCAGTGACACAGAGGGTGGCAGTGTCACCGTGTCCCCACCTCGGTGCGCAGCGTGCTGGGCTGGCGCGGGGCTCAGCGCGGGGGACAGGGGGTGACACAGGGGTGTGACACAGTGACACAGGGGGGTGACACAGGGGGGTGACACAGGGGTGGCAGTGTCACCCTCGGTGCGCAGCGTGCTGGGCTGGCGCAGGCTCAGCGCGGGGGACAGGGGGTGACACAGGGGGTGTGACACAGTGACACAGGGTGACACAGGGCGACACAGGGGTGTGACACAGGGGTGTGACACAGGGTGACACAGGGGTGGCAGTGACACAGGGGTGGCAGTGACACAGGGGGTGGCAGTGTCACCTCGGTGCGCAGCGTGCTGGGCTGGCGCGGGCTCAGCGCGGGGGACAGGGGGTGACACAGGGGGTGACACAGGGGGTGACACAGGGGGTGACACAGTGACACAGGGTGTGACACAGGGTGTGACACAGGGGGTGACACAGGGTGACACAGGGGTGGCAGTGTCACCTCGGTGCGCAGCGTGCTGGGCTGGCGCGGGCTCAGCGCGGGGCTCAGGGGGTGACACAGGGGTGTGACACAATGACACAGGGTGACACAGGGTGTGACACAGGGTGACACAGGGGTGGCAGTGACACAGGGGTGTGACACAGGGGTGTGACACAATGACACAGTGACACAGGGTGACACAGGGTGTGACACAGGGTGACACAGGGGGTGACACAGAGGGTGGCAGTGTCACCTCGTGTGCGCAGCGTGCTGGGCTGGCGCGGGGCTCAGCGCGGGGCTCAGGGGGTGACACAGGGGTGTGACACAGTGACACAGGGTGACACAGGGGGTGTGACACAGGGTGACACAGGGGTGGCAGTGACACAGGGGTGTGACACAGGGGTGTGACACAGGGGTGTGACACAGGGGTGTGACACAGGGTGACACAGGGGTGGCAGTGACACAGGGGTGTGACACAGGGGTGTGACACAGGGGTGTGACACAGTGACACAGGGGTGGCAGTGTCACCTCGGTGCGCAGCGTGCTGGGCTGGCGCGGGCTCAGCGCGGGGCTCAGGGGGTGACACGGGTGTGACACAGTGACACGGGGGGTGACCCAGGGTGACCCAGGGTGACACAGGGGGTGACACAGAGGGACACAGTGACACAGGGGGTGACACAGGGGTGTGACACAGGGGTGTGGACACAGTGACACAGTGACACAGGGGTGTGACACAGTGACACAGGGTGTGACACAGGGTGTGACACAGGGGTGTGTGACACAGGGTGTGACACAGGGGTGGCAGTGTCACCTCGGTGCGCAGCGTGCTGGGCTGGCGCGGGCCTCAGCGCGGGGCTCAGCGGGGGCAGCGCTGTCCCCCGGGCCCCCCGGTGCCACCCCCGCGGTGTCCCCCGCGATGGCGAAGGACAAGGTGACAGCGATGGGGCGGAGCTTGTCCCGGATGTCGTCCTGAGGGAGGAAGGAGGAGGAGGAGGAGGCTGAGGATGAGGAGGCGGCCGAGGCCAAAGCACGCACGTGCAGCCGGAAGGTGGAGGAAGAGGAGGAGGAGGATGAGGAGGAGGAGGAGGATGAGGATGAGGCTGAGGCTGAGGGATGAGGATGAGGAGGAGGAGGAGGAGGCGGCCGAGGCCGAAGCACGCACATGCAGCCGGAAGGTGGCGGAAGAGGAGGATGAGGCTGAGGATGGATGAGGATGAGGGATGAGGATGAGGATGAGGATGAGGGATGAGGAGGATGAGGAGGAGGCCGAAGCACGCACGTGCAGCCGGAAGGTGGCGGAGAATGAGGCTGAGGATGAGGGATGAGGAGGATGAGGATGAGGGATGAGGAGGATGAGGATGAGGCCGAAGCACGCACGTGCAGCCGGAAGGTGGCGGGAAAGAGGAGGATGAGGGATGAGGCTGAGGGATGAGGATGAGGATGAGGGATGAGGCCGAAGCACGCACGTGCAGCCGGAAGGTGGCGGAGGAGGAGGCTGAGGATGAGGATGAGGGATGAGGATGAGGATGAGGATGAGGCTGAGGGATGAGGAGGAGGATGAGGATGAGGATGAGGAGGAGGGATGAGGATGAGGAGGATGAGGCCGAAGCACGCACGTGCAGCCGGAAGGTGGCGGAAGAGGAGGATGAGGCTGAGGAGGAGGAGGATGAGGGATGAGGATGAGGATGAGGATGAGGGATGAGGAGGATGAGGATGAGGCCGAAGCACGCACGTGCAGCCGGAAGGTGGCGGAAGAGGAGGATGAGGCTGAGGAGGAGGAGGATGAGGGATGAGGATGAGGATGAGGATGAGGATGAGGAGGAGGAGGAGGCCGAAGCACGCACGTGCAGCCGGAAGGTGGCGGGCACGCAGCGCCGCTCCCGCGGCCGGGGCAGCTCCAGGCGGGCCCGGATCCGGTGCTCGGGCTCGGCCGGGCCCCGCTCCAGGAAGGAGCCCCGGGGCTGCTGCCCCCGAAGGCGCCGCTCCGAGTCCGCCTCCAGCGCCAGCTGCAGCTCTGGGGGGCAGAGACGATTGGGGGGGCCCCAAATGATGGGGAGGGGTCCCGAGGATGGGGAGGGTCCCAAAGGATGGGGAGGGGTCCAAGGATGGGTGGGGTCCAAAGGATTTGGGGGCCCAAAGGATGGGGAAGGTCCCAAAGGATGAGGAGGAGCCCAAGGGGATGAGAAGGGTCCCAAGGATGGGGGGGCTCAAAGGATTTTGGGGTCCCAACGATGGGGAGGGGTCCCAAAGGATGGGGGGGGTGTCCCAGGAACAGGGGGGACCCCAGGTTTGGGGGTCCCTGGAACGGGGGGGATCCCCAGGAATTGGGGAGGATCCACAGGAACAGGGGGCGTCCCCCAGGGTTGGGGGTCCCTGGAACGGGGGGGATCCCCAGGTTTGGGGGTCCCTGGAACGGGGGCATCCCCCAGGGTTGGGGGGTCCCTGGTACGGGGGCGTCCCCCAGGTTTGGGGGTCCCCTGGAACGGGGGGGATCCCCAGGGTTGGGGGTCCTTGGAACGGGGGCGTCCCCCAGGGTTGGGGGGTCCCTGGAACGGGGGGATCCCCAGGGTTGGGGGTCCCCCAGGGTTGGGGGTCCCTGGAACGGGGGCATCCCCCAGGGTTGGGGGTCCCTGGAACGGGGGCGTCCCCCAGGTTTGGGGGGTCCCTGGAACGGGGGGGATCCCCAGGAATGGGGGGGATCCCCAGGAACAGGGGGGGTCCCCCAGGTTTGGGGGTCCCGGGGGTCGCTCACCCAGCGGGGGGGGGGGGCGCTGTCCCTGCCCGGGCTCTCGCTGAAGCTGAAAACACGCCCGGACCTCCAGGCTGGGGGGGGGGAAAACGGGGGTCACCGGGGGGGTCCCGACACCCCCAAAACGGGACAGGGACAGGGGACATGGGGGGACATGGGGGGACACGAGGGGGACATGGGGGACGTGGAAGGGGACACATGGGGGACACGGGGAGGGAAGAGGGGGACAATGGGGGGGACACAGAAGAGGACACGGGGAGGATCCGGGGGCGACACGAGAGGACACTTGAGACATGGGGGACACGGGGGACATGGAGGGGACAAAGGGGGACAAAGGGGGACATGGAGGGGACAAAGGGGGACAAAGGGGGACATGGAGGGGGACATGGGGGACATGGAGGGGGACACGGGGGGACGCGAGGGGGACACTTGAGACACGGGGGACATGGAGGGAGACACTGGGGGGACAAAGGGGGGACATGGAGGGGGACATGGAGGACATGGAGGGGGAAACACGATGGGGACACGAGGGGACGTGAGTGGGACACTTGAGACACGGGGGACATGGAGGGAGACACTGGGGGGGACGTGGAGGGGGACACGGGGGACACGGAGGGGGACCCAGGGGACATGGAGGGGGACACGGGGGGAGCCGGGGGGGACAAAGGGAGACTGGGGGGACACGGAGGGGGACACGGGGGACATGGAGGACATGGAGGGAGACACTGGGGGGACACGGAGGACATGGCGGGGGGGACAAAGGGGGACACAGGGGACATGGAGGGGGGATACATGGGGGGACACGAGGGACACGGGGGGGACAAAGGGGGACACGGGGGACACAGAGGGTGACCCGGGGGACATGGAGGGGGACCCGGGGCACACGGGGGACACGGAGGGGGACACGGAGGGGGGACGCATGGGGGGACACGGGGAGCGGAGAGGGGGGACAATGAGGGGGACACGGGGAGGATCCGGGGGGCGATACGAGAGGACATTTGAGACACGGGGGACACGGAGGGGGACACACAGAGGGACACTGTGGGGGACACGGGGGACATGGAGGGGGACACGAGGGGGACACTGGGGAGACATGGGGGACATGGAGGGGGACACGATGGGGACGCGAGGGGGACACTTGAGACACGGGGGACATGGAGGGGGGGACACATGGGGGGACACTGGGGGGACATGGGGGACACGGAGGGGGGACACTGGGGGGACAAAGGGGGGACACGGAGAGGGGCATGGGGGACATGGAGGGGGAAACACGATGGGGACACGAGGGGGGACATGGGGGGACGCGAGGGGGACACTTGAGACATGGGGGACATGGAGGGAGACACTGGGGGGACAAAGGGGGGGACACGGAGGGGGACATGGAGGACATGGAGTGGGGACACACGGGGGGACACTGGGGACATGGGGGACACGGAGGGGGACACGGGGGACACGGAGGACATGGCGGGGGGACAAAGGGGGGACACAGGAGACATGGAGGGGGACACATGGGGGGACACGGAGGACATGGCGGGGGGACAAAGGGGGACACGGGGGACACAGAGGGCAACCCGGGGGACACAAGGGGGACCCGGGGCACACGGGGGACATGGAGTGGGGGACACACGGGGGGACACGGGGAGCGGAGAGGGGGACAATGAGGGGGACACGGGGAGATCCGGGGGCGATACGAGAGGACATTTGAGACACGGGGGACACGGAGGGGGACACGGGGGAGGACACAGAGGGGGACAAAGGGGGACACGGGGGACACGGAGGGGGACACACAGAGGGACACTGGGGGGACACGGGGGACGTGGAGGGGGACACGAGGGGGACACGGAGTAGGACACGGGGGACATGGAGTGGGGACACAGGGGGGACAAAGGGGGACACGGGGGACACGGGGGACACAGAGAGGGACAAAGGGGGAGCCGGGGGGGGACAAAGGGGGACACGGAGGGGGACGTGGGGGACACAGGGGACATGGAGGGGGACACGGGGGAGCCGGGGGGGGACACGGCAGACATGGGGGGTGACATGGGGAAGCCGGGGGGGACAAAGGGGGACACAGAGGGGGACACACAGGGGGACACTGGGGGGACACGGGGGACATGGAGGGTGACCCGGGTGACCCAGGGGGGACAAAGGGGGACACTGGGGACACGAGGGTGACCCGGGTGACACGGAGGGGACCCGGGTGACACCGGGGGCTGTCCCTGTCACGCACCAGACGCCGGGCCCCGTCGCGGCAGTTGCTCCGCTCCAGGTCGATGAGCGGCGGCAGCACCGACACCTCCCGGGACACGTGAACCACCGGCCGCGCCCTGACGGGGCACGGGAGGGCGAAATGGGGGGTCCCGGGGGGAGCCCCCCAAAGCCTGAGCGCACCCCGGGAACCCCCCAGGGCAGGGGGGGATTCGGGGAGGGGCTCCTGGGGGGTTTGGGGGTCCCTGGGAGGGGGAATTGATGGGTGGGGGCTCAGGGATTTGGGGAGGGGTTCAGGGATTTGGGGAGGGGGCTCAGGGATTTGGGGGGGTCAGGGATTTGGGGAGGGGCTCAGGGATTTGGGGGGCTCAGGGATTTGGGAGGGGCTCAGGGATTTGGGGAGGGGGCTCAGGGATTTGGGGGGCTCAGGGATTTGGGGAGGGGGCTCAGGGATCTGGGAGGGGCTCAGGGATTTGGGAGGGGGCTCAGGGATTTGGGGGGCTCAGGGATTTGGGAGGGGCTCAGGGATTTGGGGAGGGGCTCAGGGATTTGGGGGGCTCAGGGATTTGGGAGGGGCTCAGGGATTTGGGGAGGGGGCTCAGGGATTTGGGAGGGGTTCAGGGATTTGGGGGGGGTTCAGGGATTTGGGGAGGGCTCAGGGATTTGGGGGGGGGGCTCAGGGATTTGGGGAGGGGTTCAGGGATTTGGGGGCTCAGGGATTTGGGGAGGGGGCTCAGGGATTTGGGGAGGGGTTTCAGGGATTTGGGGGGTTCAGGGATTTGGGGAGGGGGCTCAGGGATTTGGGAGGGGTTCAGGGATTTGGGGAGGGGCTCAGGGATTTGGGGAGGGGTTCAGGGATTTGGGGAGGGGTTCAGGGATTTGGGGGGGGGCTCAGGGATTTGGGGGAGGGGGGCTCAGGGATTTGGGGAGGGGTTCAGGGATTTGGGGGCTCAGGGATTTGGGGCTGCTCCAAGGCTTTGGGATCCTCTGGAATCGGGGGATTCCGGGGGTCCCCAGAAATTGGGGGATTTTGGGGAATTTGGGGGTCCCAGGAACTGGGGGCTGCTCCAAGGCTTTGGGATCCTCAGGAATTGTGGGATTCTGGGGATCCTCAGGAATTGTGGGGAGGGGGTCACGGGGCGGGGGATCCTCAGGAATTGTGGGGAGGGGGGTGTCACAGGGTGGGGGATCCTCAGGAATTGTGGGGAGGGGGTCACGGGGCAGGGGATCCTCAGGAATTGTGGGGAGGGGGGTGTCACAGGGCGGGGGATCCTCAGGAATTGGGGGATTTTGGGGTGGGATCCTCAGGAATTGGGGCATTCTGGGGATCCTCAGGAATTGTGGGGAGGGGGTCACAGGGTGGGGGATCCTCAGGAATCGGGGGATTTTGGGGTGGGGGGATCCTCAGGAATTGGGGGATTTTGGGGCGGGGGATCCTCAGGAATTGGGGCATTCTGGGGCGGGGGATCCTCAGGAATTGGGGGAATTTGGGGGTCCCAGGAACTGGGGGGCTGCTCCAAGGCTTTGGGATCCTCAGGAATTGGGGGATTTTGGGGTGGGGGATCCTCAGGAACTGGGGGATTTTGGGGCGGGGGATCCTCAGGAATTGGGGGATTCTGGGGCGGGGGATCCTCAGGAACTGGGGGATTCTGGGGATCCTCAGGAATTGTGGGGAGGGGGTCACAGGGCAGGGGATCCTCAGGAATTGTGGGGAGGGGGTCACAGAGCGGGGGATCCTCAGGAATTGTGGGGAGGGGGTCATGGGGCAGGGGATCCTCAGGAACTGGGGGATTTTGGGGCGGGGGATCCTCAGGAATTGTGGGGAGGGGGTCACAGGGCAGGGGATCCTCAGGAATTGTGGATTCTGGGGATCCTCAGGAATTGTGGGGAGGGGGTCACAGGGCAGGGGATCCTCAGGAATTGTAGGATTTTGGGGCGGGGGATCCTCAGGAATTGGGGGAATTTGGGGTGGGGGATCCTCAGGAACTGGGGGATTCTGGGGATCCTCAGGATCCTCAGGAATTGTGGGGAGGGGGGTGTCACAGGGCAGGGGATCCTCAGGAATTGTGGGGAGGGGGGTGTCACAGGGCAGGGGATCCTCAGGAATTGGGGAGGGGGTCACAGGGCGGGGGTCTCACCTGTAGAGCACCACGCTGTCCGACAGGGACCCCACCAGCAGGTCGGGGTACAGGTTCCCATCCACGTCCATTCCCCCCGAGGAGCGAGTACCCAAAGGCCGAGACCCCCACGGCCTCCCCATCCAGCACCTGGGGGTGGGGGGCGGCCCTGGCTGAGCCCAGACCCCTCCCCAAACCCCCCGGGACCCCCCTGAGGACCCCCGGGCCCCCCTCACCTGCGCCGGGCGGGTGACGATGCCCAGGGCGCTGCCGTGGTAAATGAAGACTTTGCCCGCGCCGTCAAAAGGAGCCCCCACGGCCAGGTCTGCAGGGGGGGAAATTTGGGTAAATTTGGGGGTTTTTGGGGTTCAGATGCCTCCCCAGGGAAGCCCTTGGGGGATTTATGCGGCAAAGTTTTGGGGATCCCAAAAAAAAACCAAAAAAAAACCCCGAATTTCCTCGCCCCCAAAAAAAGCCCGCGCCACAAATTCGGCTGCGGTTCTGCCAGGCCCTGCTCGTGGAGACCCCCAAAGGCACTGAAATCCCCCCAAAAAGCCCCAAAACCCTCACCTCCAAAGCCATTCTGGGTTTGGTCCATCCCCAGACCCCAAATCCCCCCAAAATCCTCTCAAACTGCCCCAAATCCCCCCCAAAATCCTCTCAAACTGCCCCAAATCCCCCCAAATCCCCCCCAAAATCCTCTCAAACTGCCCCAAATCCACCCCGAACCCCCCCAAAATCCTCTCAAACTGCCCCAAATCCCCCCAAATCCACCCAAAATCCTCTCAAACTGCCCAAATCCCCCCAAAATCCCCCCAAAATCCTCTCAAACTGCCCAAATCCCCCCCAAATCCCCCCCAAAATCCTCTCAAACTGCCCCAAATCCCCCCCAAATCCTCCCCAAAATCCTCTCAAACTGCCCCAAATCCCCCCCAAATCCCCCAAAATCCTCTCAAACTGCCCCAAATCCCCCCCAAATCCCCCCAAAATCCTCTCAAACTGCCCCAAATCCCCCCCAAATCCCCCAAAATCCTCTCAAACTGCCCCAAATCCCCCCCAAATCCTCTCAAACTGCCCCCAAATCCCCCCCAAGGTCCCCCCCAAAAATCCTCTCAACTGCCCTAAATCCACCCCAAATCCCCCTGCAGCCCCTCAGCCTTGAACCCGACGTGGTTTTGGTCTGGCCCTGGACCCCCAAAACCCCCTAAAATCCCCCCCCAAAAACCCCTAAAATCCCCCCCAAACCCCCCAAATCCCCTCTACACCCCCCGAATTCCTCCAAAACCCCCCCTAAATCCCCTCAAACCTCCCCAAAACCCATAGAATTCACCACAAATCCACCCAAATCCCCCTCCCCAGTGCTCCCCCTCATCCCCTCACCCTCAAACCCGTCCCGGTCCAGGTCCCTCCCCAGAGCCCCAAACCCCGCCAAACCTTCCCGAAACCCCCCGAATTCCCCCCAAAAGCCCCGAATCCCCTCCGATCCCTCACCCTCGAAGCCGTCCCGGCCCAGGTCCCTCCCCAGAGCCCCAAACCTCTCCGAAACCCCCCGAATTCCCCTCAAACTCCCCAAATCCCCCCCGATCCCCTCACCTTCGAACCAGTCCCGGCCCAGGTCCATCCCCAGACCCCCAAACCCCCCCAAACCTTCCAAAACCTCCCCAAATCCCCCCAAATCCCCCCGAATCCCCCCGAATCCCCTCACCCTCGAAGCCGTCCCGGCCCAGGTCCCTCCCCAGAGCCCCAAATCCCCTCAAACCTCTCTGAAACCCCCCAAAACCCCCCGATTTCCCCCCAAACCCCCCGAAATCCCCCGACCCCTCACCCTGGAAGCCGTCCCGGTCCAGATCCATCCCCAGAGCCCCAAACCCCCCCAAACCTTCCCAAAACCCCCCGAATTCCCCTCAAACCCCCCAAAACCCCCCGAATTCCCCCCAAAACCCCGAATTCCCCCCAAACCCCCCGAATCCCCCCTCATCCCCTCACCCTCGAACCCGTCCCGCTCCAGGTCCCTCCCCAGAGCCCCAAAACCCCCCGAAACCCCCCGAATTCGCCCCAAAACCCCCCGAATTCGCCCCAAATCCCCCGAATTCCCCCAAACCCCCCGAAACCCCCCGAATTCCCCCCAAAACCCCCCCTCATCCCCTGACCCTGGAAGCCGTCCCGGTCCAGGTCCCCGGCCGAGCAGAGCGCGGTGCCGAAGGCGGAGCCGCGGGGGCCGCTCAGGCGCTCGGGGGTGGCGCCGGCCCAGAGCCCCCCCGGGTTGAGGTAAACGTACACGGCCCCCCCCAGCTCCTCCTGCCGCTCGAAAAAATGGGGGGCGCCCACGGCCAGGTCCGTCCAGCTGGGGGGGACACGGAGATGTCGCCACACACCCACACCCCCCGCAAAGAGAATGGATCGGTCCGGACACGGGTGGGGAGGGGGTTCGGGGGGTCCTGGGGTGGGGATTTGGGGGGTTTAGGGTGTGGGGAGGGGGATTTGGGGGTGGGGAAGGGGATTTAGGGGGGTTTAGGGTGTGGGGAAGGGGTTTAGGGGGTGGGAATGGGATTTGGGGGCTTTAGGGTGTGGGGAAGGGGTTTAAGGGGTGGGGAAGGGGATTTGGAGGGTTTAGGGTGTGGGGAGGGGGATTTGGGGGGTTTAGGGGGTGGGGAAGGGGATTTGGGGGGTTTAGGGGGTGAGGAAGGGGATTTGGGGGGGTTTAAGGGGGTGGAGAGGGGGATTTAGGGGTGGGGAAGGGGATTTGGGGGGTTTAGGGTGTGGGGAACGGGTTTAAGGGGTGGGGAAGGGGATTTGGGGGGGTTTAGAGGGTGGGGAAGGGGTTTAAGGGGTGGGGAAGGGGATTTGGGGGGGTTTAGAGGGTGGGGAAGGGGTTTAAGGGGTGGGGAAGGGGATTTGGGGGGGTCCTGAGGATGGGGAAGGGGATTTGGGGGGGTCCTGAGGATGGGGAAGGGGTTCAGGGTGTGGGGAAGGGGATTTGGGGGTTCAGGGTGTGGGGAAGGGGATTTGGGGGGTCCTGAGGATGGGGAAGGGGATTTGGGGGGGTTTAAGGGGTGGGGAAGGGGATTTTTGGGGCCACAGCCACGGGGACACGGGTGACACCAGGTGACAGGGCTGGCACACACCCCCACAGGTGCCACAGGTGACACAGGGGTGACACGGGTGACACAGGTGACATGGGTAACATGGGTGACACACAGGTGACACGGTGACAAAGGTGACAGAGATGTCCCAGATGCCCCAGGTGTCCCCAGGTGCCCCAGATATCCCCAGATGCCCCAGATGTCCCAAATGCCCCCGGTGTCCCAAATGTCCCAGCTGCCCCAGATGTCCCCAGGTGTCCCCAGGTGCCCCAGGTGTCCCCAGTTGTCCCCAGATGCCCCGGGTATCCCAGGTGCCCCAGGTGCCCCAGATGTCCCCAGATGCCCCAGATGCCCCAAATGCCCCAGGTGTCCCAGGTGCCCCACATGTCCCAGGTGTCCCCAGGTGCCCCAGATGTCCCCAGGTGTCCCCAGGTGCCCCCGGTGTCCCAAATGCCTCAGATGTCCCCAGGTGCCCCAGATGTCCCAGATGCCCCAGGTGTCCCCAGGTGTCCCAGATGCCCCAGATGTCCCCAGGTGTCCCAGATGCCCCACATGTCCCAGGTGTCCCCAGGTGTCCCAGATGTCCCCAGGTGTCCCCAGGTGTCCCAGGTGCCCCAGATGCCCCAGATGCCCCAGATGCCCCAAATGCCCCAGATGTCCCTGATGTCCCCAGATGTCCCCAGGTGTCCCAGATGCCCCACATGTCCCAGGTGTCCCCAGGTGTCCCAGATATCCCCAAATGCCCCAGATGCCCCAGGTGCCCCCAGTGTCCCAGATATCCCCAAATGCCCCAGGTCCCCCAGATGCCCCAAATGCCCCAGATGCCCCAGGTCCCCCACATGCCCCAGATGCCCCAGATGTCCCCAGGTCCCCCAGATGCCCCACATGTCCCAGGTGTCCCCAGATGCCCCAGGTGTCCCAGATGTCCCAGATGCCCCACATGCCCCAGATGCCCCAGATGTCCCAGATGTCCCAGATGCCCCACATGTCCCAGATGTCCCCAGATGTCCCCAGGTGTCCCCGGTGTCCCCGCACCCGTCGCTGTTGAGGTCCAGCAGTGCCAGGGCGTGGCCGAAGGCGGAGCTGAGCTGGTGCCCGCCCAGCACGGCCTCGGGCACCAGGCGGTTGGCGCTGTCCGTGCGCAGGATCACAACGGCCCCGCTGTGGTTGGCCCGGGGCGCGCCCGACACAAAGCTCAGCTCGTGCGGCCGTGTCAGCCCCGGGCCCGCGGCCACCGAGAACCCTGCGGGACACGGGGACAGTCAGGGGACACTCAGGGGATACGGGGACAGCTCGGTCACCCCGGGCCCGCGGCCACCGAGAACCCTGCGGGACAATGGGGACACTCAGGGGACACCCAGGGGACACCCAGGGGACAGCCCAGGGGACACGGGGACAGCCCTGTCACCACCGAGAAACCTGCAGGACACGGGGACACCCAGGGGACACTCAGGGACACGGGGACAGCTCGGTCACCCCAGCCCTGGGACCATCGAGAACCCTGTGGGACACGGGGACAGTCAGGGGACACCCCAGGACACGGGGACAGCCCAGGGGACACTCAGGGGACACGGGGACAGCCAGGGGACACAGGGACAGCTCGGTCACCCCGGGCCCGGGACCATCGAGAAACCTGCGGGACACGGGGACACTCAGGGGACAGCCCAGGGGACACGGGGACAGTCAGGGGACACAGGGACACCCCGGGGACACGGGGACAGCTTGGTCAGCCCTGCCCCAGGACCATTGAGAAACCTGCGGGACATGGGGACAGTCAGGGGACACCCAGGGGACACAGGGACAGTCAGGGGACACTCAGGGGACACCCAGGGGACACGGGGACAGCTCGGTCAGCCCGGCCCCGGGACCATTGAGAAACCTGCGGGACACGGGGACAGTCAGGGAACAGTCAGGGGACACGGGGACAGCTCGGTCACCCCGGGCCCGGGACCACCGAGAAACCTGCGGGACAATGGGGACACTCAGGGGACACCCAGGGGACACCCAGGGGACAGCTCGGTCACCCCAGCCCTGAGGCCACCGAGAAACCTGCGGGACAATGGGGACAGTCAGGGGACACCCAGGGGACAGCCAAGGGACACTCAGGGGACACTCAGGGGACATGGGGACAGCTTGGTCAGCCCTGCCCCAGGACCATTGAGAAACCTGTGGGACATGGGGACAGTCAGGGGACACCCAGGGGACACTCAGGGGACACGGGGACAGCTCGGTCACTCCGGCCCCGGGACCATTGAGAAACCTGCGGGACATGGGGACACTCAGGGGACACCCAGGGGACACTCAGGGGACACCCAGGGGACATGGGGACAGCCCGTGGATTGCCAGAAGGGCGGATTGTTTGGAGAAAAAGGGGCAAATTTTAGGGGAAAAGGGCAGATTTTGGGTGAAGGGCAGATTTTGGGGTGGAAATGGCAGAATTTGGGGTGGAAATGGCAGAATTTGGGGTGGAAATGGCAGATTTGGGTGGAAATGGCAGATTTTGGGTGGAAATGGCAGAATTTGGGGTGGAAATGGCAGAATTTGGGGTGAAGGGCAGATTTGGGGTGGAAATGGCAGAATTTGGGGTGAAGGGCAGATTTGGGGTGGAAATGGCAGAATTTGGGGTGAAGGGCAGATTTTGGGTGGAAATGGCAGATTTTGGGCGGAAATGGCAGAATTTGGGGTGGAAATGGCAGAATTTGGGGTGGAAAGGGCAGAATTTGGGGTGAAGGGCAGATTTTGGATGGAAATGGTAGATTTTGGGTGGAAATGGCAGAATTTGGGGAGAAGGGCAGATTTTGGGTGGAAGGGCAGAATTTGGGGTGGAAATGGCAGATTTTGGGGTGGAAATGGCAGATTTTGGGGTGGAAATGGCAGATTTTGGGGTGAAGGGCAGATTTTGGGGGCCAGAGCAGCCAATGCCAAGCAGAGCCCCCCCCTCCCTCCCCACGTGCAGGGGTGGCCGTGAGCCCCCCCAAAGCCCCCCCTGAGCCCCCCCAAAGCCCCCCCTGAGCCCCCCCAGCCCCCAGCCAGGCTCCAGCCCCTCCCCCACAATCCATGCACCCCCCCCCCATGCAAAAACAGCAACGGGGACAGGCGGGGACAGGCAGGGACATGGGGGGGACATGGGAGGGACATGGGGGGGACAGGCAGGGACATGGGGGGGACATGGGGGGGGACACGGGGGGGACAGGCAGGGATATGGGGGGGACACGGGGGGGACATGAGGGGGACACGGGGGGGACACGGGCGGGGACAGGCAGGGACACAGGGGGGACAGGCGGGGGACATGGGGGGACATGGGGGGGACATGAGGGGGACATGAGGGGACAGGCAGGGACATGGGGGGGACATGGTGGGACAGGCAGGGATATGGGGGGGACACAGGCGGGGACACGGGGGGGACATGAGAGGGACACGGGCGGGGACAGGCAGGGATATGGGGGGGACATGGGGGGACAGGCGGGGACATGGGGGGGACACGGGAGGGACACTGGGGGGGACATGGGGGGGACAGGCAGGGACATGGAGGGGACACGGGGGGGGACAGGTGGGGACATGGGGGGGATATGGGGGGGGACAGGCAGGGACATGGAGGGGACATGAGGGGGGTTTGGGGACACGGGGATGATTTGAAGGGTCAGGAATTGTGGGGACAGAAACGCGGGGACAGCGATGGGGAGGACACAGCGACGGGGAGAGCGCTTGGGGACAGGGCTGGTGACACCGGGGTGGTGACATTGGTGACAAGGGGGTGGTGACACGAGAGAGGTGGGGCCATGCAGGGGGCGGTGATGCGGCCACACGCGTGCGTGTGCAGGGGAGGGGACACGGGAGGGGACAGGGGCTGTGTCCCCATGGGGACACGAGCGTGCACAGGTGGCACCTGAGCGTGTCAGGGGTGCACAGGTGACACCTGAGCGTGTCAGGGGTGCACAGGTGACACTGAGTGTGTCACATCTGCACAGGTGACACCTGGGCGTGTCACATCTGCACAGGTGGCACCTGGGCGTGTCACTGCCACACCCCTGCAGGTGCCACCTGCGTCCGCGCTGCCACCCGACAGAGGTGACGCTCGGCGTGCCCAGGGTGCCACCCCCCGAGCGGGGACACGCGTGACAGGAGCGCCGTGGGGACAGCGCCACACGCGTGTGCCCACAGGAGCCTTTCGGGAGCGGGACAGGAGTGTCACACATGGGACATGGGTGTCACACGCCTGGCACACGTGTGTGCCCGCAGGACCCTTTCAGGAGCGGGACAGGAGCGTCACACACGGGACACGGGTGACACACGCCTGGCACACGTGTGTGCCCGCAGGACCCTTTCGGGAGCGGGACAGGAGTGTCACACATGGGACATGGGTGACACATGCCTGGCACATGCGTGTGCCCACAGGACCCTTTTGGGGGAGGGACAGGAGTGTCACACATGGGACACGGGTGGCACATGCCTGGCACACGCGTGTGCCCACAGGACCCTTCGGGAGTGGGACGGGAGTGTCACACAGGGCACGGGGGGTCACACACGGGTGGCACACGCCTGGCACACGCGTGTGCCCACAGGACCCTTTTGAGGGAGGACAGGAGTGTCACACAGGGCACGGGGGGTCACACACGGGCGACACACGCCTGGCACACGCCTGGCACACGCGTGGCGCGCACGAACCCAGGTAGGAATTGTGCCCCACGTCCGCGGCCGCGCCGGGCACCCTCTCTCCGGGCTCGGGGGTCCGGAACACCCTCAGGTCGGGGGCGCCGCTCTCAATGTTTGTCACAAAGAGCAGCCCTGGGGAGGGGGCACGGCCGGGGGCGTCAGGGACACCCGCACCCCCCATACCGAGGTAGCTGTGGGCGGGCACGGGGATCAGGGCCGGGTCCTGCTCCTTCTCCCCCCCTGCTTCGAACGGGCCGGCGTCCGGGCGCAGCAGGTCCAGGGAGCTCTGCTGGAGCTGCTCCAGGCGAACGGTGCCTGGGGACCCGCGGGGACATTGGGGACAATGGGACAGGGGGGACAGGGAGCTCTGCTGGAGCTGCTCCAGGCGAACGGTGCCTGGGGACCCGCGGGGACATTGGGGACAATGGGGACAATGGGGACACCGAGGGGTCCAGGGAGCTCTGCTGGAGCTGCTCCAGGCGAACGGTGCCTGGGGACCCGCGGGGACATTGGGGACATGGGGGGACATTGGGGACACCGAGGGGTCCAGGGGGCTCTGCTGGAGCTGCTCCAGGCGAACGGTGCCTGGGGACCCGCGGGGACATTGGGGACAATGGGGACAGGGGGGATAATGGGGGCAATGGGGACATTGGGGACAATGGGGACATTGGGGACAATGGGGACAGGGAGCTCTGCTGGAGCTGCTCCAGGCGAACGGTGCCTGGGGACCCGCGGGGACATTGGGGACACGGGGGGACAATGGGGACATTGGGGATAATGGGGACATTGGGGACAATGGGGGCAATGGGGGCAATGGGGACCCGGGGACACCGAGGGGTCCAGGGAGCTCTGCTGGAGCTGCTCCAGGCGAACGGTGCCTGGGGACCCGCGGGGACATTGGGGACAACGGGGGGACAATGGGGACATTGGGGACATTGGGGATAATGGGGACAATGGGGACAGTGGGGACATTGGGGATAATGGGGGCAATGGGGACAGTGGGGACAAGGGGGACAGGGAGCTCTGCTGGAGCTGCTCCAGGCGAACGGTGCCTGGGGACCCGCGGGGACATTGGGGACACGGGGGGACAATGGGGACATTGGGGACATTGGGGATAATGGGGACATTGGGGGCATTGGGGATAATGGGGATAATGGGGGCAATGGGGGCACCGAGGGGTCCAGGGAGCTCTGCTGGAGCTGCTCCAGGCGAACGGTGCCTGGGGACCCACGGGGACATTGGGGACAACGGGGGGACAGGGGGGACAATGGGGGCAATGGGGACATTGGGGATAATGGGGACATTGGGGGCAATGGGGATAATGGGAGCAATGGGGGCAATGGGGACATTGGGGATAATGGGGACATTGGGGACAATGGGGACACCGAGGGGTCCAGGGAGCTCTGCTGGAGCTGCTCCAGGCGAACGGTGCCTGGGGACCCGCGGGGACATTGGGGACACGGGGGGACAATGGGGACATTGGGGATAATGGGGATAATGGGAGCAATGGGGATAATGGGGATAATGGGGACAGGGAGCTCTGCTGGAGCTGCTCCAGGCAAACGGTGCCTGGGGACCCGCGGGGACACTGGGGACACGGGGGCAATGGGGACATTGGGGACATTGGGGATAATGGGGACAGTGGGGATAAGGGGGATAATGGGGACATTGGGGGCAATGGGGACACCGAGGGGTCCAGGGGGCTCTGCTGGAGCTGCTCCAGGCAAACGGTGCCTGGGGACCCGCGGGGACATTGGGGACAACGGGGGGACAGGGGGGACAATGGGGACAATGGGGGCATTGGGGATAATGGGGATAATGGGAGCAATGGGGACAATGGGGACAATGGGGACACAGGGACACAGGGGACAATGGGGACATTGGGGATAATGGGGACATTGGGGGCAATGGGGACACCGAGGGGTCCAGGGAGCTCTGCTGGAGCTGCTCCAGGCGAACGGTGCCTGGGGACCCGTGGGGACAATGGGGACAATGGGGACAGGGGGGACCCGGGGGGACAATGGGAAAATTGGGGACATTGGGGACATTGGGGACAATGGGAACAGGGGGGACAATGGGGGCAATGGGGACACTGAGGGTTCCGGGGGCATCTGGCTGAGCTGGGACCCCTCCCCAGGGTGAGGGGACAATGGGGACACCAAGGGACGCCACAGGAGCCCCCAGGGACACCGAGGGACCCTCGTGCTCGGCCTGAGCACCCCCAGCCCCAGCGGGGACCCCCCACAGCCCCCACACCCTCCCAGTTATGGGTCCCACACCCCCCCAGGGGGGTCCCAGTGCCCCTCACCCTTCCAGTTGTAGGTCCCGGGTACCCCCAGCAGGAGCAGCCCCCAGACCCCCAAACTCCCCATGGGCAGGGGTCCCAACACCCCTCACCCTTCCAGTTATGGGTTCCAAACCCCTCTGGGGTGGTCCCAGTACCCTTCATCCCCCCAGTTATGGGTCCCAGATCCCCCAAACCCTCCCTGGGCGGGGGTCCCAGCACCCCTCACCCTTCCAGTTATGGGTCCCACACCCCCCAAACTCCCCATGGGGGGGGGGGTCCCAGCACCCTTCACCCTTCCAGTTATGGGTCCCCAGTGCCCCAAGCAGGAACAGCCCCCAGACCCCCAAACTCCCCATGAACGGGGGTCCCAGCACCCCTCACCCTCCCAGTTATGGGTCCCCGATGTCCTGAGCAGGAACAGCCCCCAGACCCCCCAAACCCTCCCTGGGCAGGGGTCCCAGTGCCCCTCACCCTTCCAGTTATGGGTTCCAAACCCCTCTGGGGTGGTCCCAGCGCCCTTCATCCCCCCAGTTTTGAGTCCCACACCCCCCAAACTCCCCATGACGGGGGTCCCATTGCCCCTCACCCTTCCAGTTATGGGTCCCACACCCTCCAGGGGGGTCCCAGCACCCCTCACCCTCCCAGTTATGGGTCCCAAACCCCCCAAACCCTCCCTGGGCGGGGGTCCCAGTGCCCCTCACCCTTCCAGTTATGGGTCCCACACCCTCCAGGGGGGTCCCAACGCCCCTCATCCCCCCAGTTATGGGTCCCAAACCCCCCAAACCCTCCCTGGGCGGGGGTCCCAGTGCCCCTCACCCTTCCAGTTATGGGTCCCAGACCCCCCAAGACCTCCCTGGGTGGAGGTCCCAGCACCCCTCACCCTTCCAGTTATGGGTCCCAAACCCCCCAAACTCCCCATGGCGGGGGTCCCATCACCCCTCACCCTTCCAGTTATGGGTCCCACACCCCCCCAGGGGGATCCCATCGCCCCTCACCCTTCCAGTTGTATGTCCCGGGTACCCCCAGCAGGAACAGCCCCCAGACCCCCAAACTCCCCATGGGCGGGGGTCCCATCGCCCCTCACCCTTCCAGTTGTAGGTCCTCAGTGCCCCCAATAGGAACAGCCCCCAGACCCCCCAAACTCCCCATAGCGGGGGTCCCATGGCCCCTCACCCTTCCAGTTATGGGTCCTGGGTACCCCCAGCAGGAACAGCCCCCAGACCCCCAAACTCCCCATAGTGGGGGTCCCATCGCCCCTCACCCTTCCAGTTGTAGGTCCCGGGTGCCCCCAGCAGCACGAAGCGCCGGTCGGGGCTGAAGGCGGCCGCCAGGCCCTGCTGGCAGAACCCGAACCGTTCGTGTCCCGGCGCTCTCCCCTCGCAGAATTTCCACTCGCCGCCGTCCAGCTCGTCCCGTTCCCGCAGGTCCTGGCTGAGCACGAAGCAGCGGCCGATCACGTCCCGCGTCTCCAGCGGCTGCCGCACGCGGTGCCGCAGCTCGTAGCGGTGCGCGCAGGTCTGCGGGGACACCTGGCGGTCACCGAGAGCCGGGAGCCCCTCCGGGAGGCGGCCCCGGTTGTGGGGATTCACAGAAAGTTAAAGAGTTTTGGGGGGGAAAAGCTGCAAAAGGCGGGCGCGAAGTGTGATTAGAGCCAAGCAGCAGGAATGAGGTGGGTCAGCAGAAAAGGTGTTTAAATTATAGAAAGGGCAAATAGAGCTGTCCCCATCCTGGTGTCCCCATCCCGGTGTCCCCATCCCGGTGTCCCCATCCCAGTTATGGGTTCAGTTATGTCCCAGGTGTCCCCACCCCAGTGTCCCCACTCCAGTGTCCCCACCCCGGTGTCCCCATCCCAGGTGTCCCCACGCCAGTATCCCCATCCCAGTGTCCCCACCCGTGTCCCCATCACGGTGTCCCCATCCGGTGTCCCCATCCCAGTTATGGGTTCAGTTACGTCCCAGGTGTCCCCACCCCAGTGTCCCCACCCCGGTGTCCCTATCCCAGTGTCCCCATCCCGGTGTCCCCATCCCAGTGTCCCCCACCCATGTCCCCACCCCCGGTGTCCCCACCCCACTGTCCCCATCCTGGTGTCCCCATCCCAGTTATGGGTTCAGTTACGTCCCAGGTGTCCCCATCCCAGTGTCCCCATCCCGGTGTCCCCATCCCAGTTATGGGTTCAGTTATGGCCCAGATGTCCCCACCCCAGTGTCCCCATCCCGGTGTCCCCACTCCAGTGTCCCCACCCTGGTGTCCCCACCCCAGTTATGGGTTCAGTTATGTCCCAGGTGTCCCCACCCCTGTGTCCCCACCCCAGCGTCCCCATCCCAGTGTCCCCATCCTGGTGTCCCCACCCCAGTGTCCCCATCCCGGTGTCCCCATCCCAATGTCCCCACCCCAATGTCCCCACCCCGGTGTCCCCATCCCAGTTATGGGTTCAGTTATGTCCCAGATGTCCCCATCCCAATGTCCCTATCCCAGTGTCCCCATCCCGGTGTCCCCATCCCAGTTATGGGTTCAGTTACGTCCCAGGTGTCCCCACCCCTGGGTCCCCACCCCACTGTCCCCACCCCGGTGTCCCCACCCCGGTGCTCACCACCACTTTCCCGCCGGGCCCTTGGCTCTCGACGCTGACCCCCAGCCATTGGTTCTCTTTGCTCTCCCTCGTGGGATCCTCTGCGGGCACCGTGAGGGCTCAGCCCGGCCCGGAGCCCGGTCCCTCGGGGACCCCCGGGACCCCCGCTCACCTCCCTCATCGATGGGGACCCTCCAGCAGTCGGCGGGCTCGGCGCTCAGCGGGCAGGCGAACAGAGCCCCGCTGATGTTGGCGGCCTGGCCGGGCAGTGCCCGGGCCTGGGGGGCGCCCACGAGCAGCCTGGCAGGGCAGCGACCCCCGTCAGGGTTTGGGGAGGGGTCCCCGAGGGTCACCAAGACCCCCCTGATACCCCCCAGGTGCGGCTGTGCCACCCCCGTGCCCGGCAGCTGCTGTGGGGACATGGAGGGGACAGGAGGGGACAGCCCCGGGACAGCCCCGGGACCCCCGTCAGGGTTTGGGGAGGGGTCCCCGAGAGTCACCGAGACCCCCCTGGTACCCCCCAGGTGCGGCTGTGCCACCCCCGTGCCTGACAGCTGCTGTGGGGACACCCTGGGACACCCCCGGGACACCCCAGGGACACCCCAGGGACCCCTGTGAGGGTTTGGGGAGGGGTCCCCGAGGGTCCCTGAGCCCCTCCCGGGAGCAGCTGTGCCACTCCCATGCCTGACAGCTGCTGTGGGGGACACCCTGGGACACCCTGGGACACCCCAGGGACCCCCGGGACCCCCGTCAGGATTTGGGGAGGGGTCCCCGAGGGTCCCCAAGCCCCTCCCGGGAGCAGCTGCGCCACCCCCGTGCCCGGCAGCTGCTGTGGGGACACGGAAGGGACAGGAGGGGACAGGAGGGGACACAGAGGGGACAGGAGGGAACACAGAGGGGACAGGAGGGGACAGCCCCGGGACACCCCCGGGACACCCCCGGGACCCCCGTCAGGGTTTGGGGAGGGGTCCCCGAGGGTCCCCAAGCCCCTCCCGGGAGCAGCTGTGCCACCCCCGTGCCCGGCGCGGTGCCAGCCCGGCCGAGCAGCTGCTGTGGGGACACTGTGGGGACACGGAGGGGACAGGAGGGGGGACACCCCCGGGACCCCCGCCATTGTCCCCGGCGCGTCCCCGGTGTCCGCGGGGCCTGGGGGGAGCCCGGGGGCCGCCGGTGGCGCGGGGGGGACGCGGCGGAGCCCACGGGGGTGGCGGGGAGGGAGCGGCGGTAAAAATAACCCGGAATTCCCTCAAAATAACCGCGGAGCAACATGGCCAAAAAAGGACCGGGCACACCGAGACACCGGCGCCCCACGGGGCCGGGACAGCGCGACAAGGGCGGCCCGGGGACAGCGGGGACACGGGGGGACAGCACGGGGACAGCACGGGGACAGCCAGGGAACCGAGGCCAGCCCGGTTCCGTCACCACCTGCACCGGGCACCGGCGGTGCCAAAGCCGCCCTCGGTGCCAGGAACGCGGCGCGGGCGGCAGCGCTGCGACACCGCGGCGACAGCGGCGACACCGCGGCGACAGCGGCGACACCGCGGCGACAACGGGCGGGCGGGGCACGGCGGGGACAGGGGGGGTGAGCGGGTGACAGCGCAATGGGAGCCGCCCCCTCCGGGGGTCCCCGTGGGTGAGACCCCCCCGGTAACGGCCCGGGAGAAGCGGGGGACAGGGGAATGGACAGGGGGACACGGGGACATGGGGACACGGGGACACGGGGACACTGGGTAATGGGACATGGGGACAGGGGGACAGAGGGACAGGGGGACACGGGGACATTGGGGTAGTGGGACAGGGGGACAGGGGGACACGGGGACAGGGGGACACGGGGACACGGGGACACGGGGACATTGAGTAGTGGGACAGGGGGACAGGGGGACACCGGGGACAGGGGGACACGGGGACAGGGGGACAGGGGGACACGGGGACACGGGACACGGGGAGGACAGGGGACATTGGGGTGGTGGGACATGGGGACACGGGGACAGGGGGACAGACGGACATTGGGGTAGTGGGACAGGGGGACACACGGAGAACAGGGGGACAGAGGGACACGGGGACACGGGGACAGAGGGACAGGGGGACATGGGGACACTGGGGTAGTAGGACAGAGGGACACGGGGACAGGGGGACACGGGGACAGAGGGACAGACGGACACAGGGACACGGGGACACGGCTGTCGCGGGTGGGCGTTCGCAGCGGGTGGGCGGCCTGGCAGCGACACTGTCCCTGTGCCTGTCCCTGTCCCTTCTGTCCCTGTCCCTGTCCCTTCTGTCCCTGTCCCCGTCCCTGTCCCTTTGGCACCGCCCCCTCGCGCTGGGGTCGCTCCGGGGGTCCCGGTCCCCCCTCAGCCCCGCGGCTCCCGAACCCCCAAATCCCGGCAATAGGAACCCCTGAATCCCCAAAATCCCCCAAATCCGGCAATAGGAACCCCTGAATCCCCAAAATCCCCCAAATCCCGGCAATAGGAACCCCCCCTGCCCCAAAACTCCCCAAATCTCCCCCAAATCCCCTCAAGCGAACCCGCACCCCCCCCCGCCCAGGCTCTCCCCCATTCCCGGGGGTCCCTCCCAGCCCATCCCGGGGGTCGCGTCCCCCCCGATCCCCCCGATCCCCCCGGTCCCTCCCGGTTCCCCCCGATCCCTCCGATCCCTCCCGTTCCCCCCCGATCCCCCCGGTTCCCCCGGTTCCCCCGATCCCCCCGGTTCCCCGGTTCCTCCCTATCCCTCCGATCCCCCCGATCCCCCCGGTCCCTCCCGGTTCCCCCCGATCCCCCCGGTTCCCCCCGATCCCCCGGTTCCCCCCGGTTCCCCCCGATCCCCCCGATCCCTCCCGGTTCCCCCCGATCCCCCCGGTCCCCCCCGTTCCCCCCGTTCCCCCCGATCCCCCCGGTTCCCCCGGTTCCCCGCGATCCTCCCGATCCTCCCGTTCCCCCCCGATCCCCCCGATCCTTCCCGGTCCCCCCGGTTCCCCCCCGATCCCCCCGATCCCTCCCGGTTCCCCCCGATCCCTCCCGTTCCCCCCCGGTTCCCCCGATCCCCCCGATCCCCCCCGGTCCCCCCCCGGTTCCTCCCGGTTCCCCCGCTCACCACGCCGGGGCTCGGGGCTCAGCTGCCGGTGCAGCGCCACGGCCGCTCCGAAGAGGCTGCCCCGGTCCCCGTCCTTCAGCACCGGGCTGGCCCCGTCCAGGTTGAAGGCGGCGGCCGCCGGTAACCACAGGGACAGCGCCGGTAACCCCAGGGACAGCGCCGGTAACCACCGGCAGAGCCCCGGTGGCTGCAGGGACAGCCCCGGTAGCCACAGGGACACCGACAGCAGCCACCGGCAGAGCCCCGGTAGCCACCGGTAGAGTCCCGGTAGCCACAGGAACGGCCCCGGTAGCCCCGGTAGGCACCGGTAGAGTCCCGGTAGCCACAGGGACACGGAGAGCAGCCACCGGCAGAGCTCCGGTAGCCACAGGAACGGCCCCGGTAGCCCCGGTAGCAGCCCCGGGAGGCACCGGTAGAGTCCCGGTAGCCCCAGGAACGGCCCCGGTAGCCCCGGTAGCCCCAGGAACGGCCCCGGGAGGCACCGGCGGCCCCCGCTCGCCATCCCCGCGCTGCCGGTGCCGCCGCCCGCGGGAGGAGCGCCCGGAGCGCCCGCAGCCCCCGCAGCTCCCGGGGGGCGGCTCCGCCCCGGCCCCGCCCCCGCGGAACCGGGGAAGCCCCGGAGAGCCCGGGAGGGGCGGGGAGGGGGCGGGGCCGGACCCCAAAGAGCGGGGAGGGGACCCCAAATACCGGGAGGGACCCGGAACCCACAGAGTGACCCCAAACACCGGGAGGGACCCCAAATAGCGGGAGGGACCCCGAAGATGAGGAGCGACCCCAAATCCTGGGGCTGAGCCCAAATCCACAGAGTGACCCCAAATACCCGGAGTGACCCCAAACCCACGGAGTGACCCCAAATACCGGGAGGGACCCGGAACCCACAGAGTGACCCCAAACCCAGGGACTGAGCCCAAATCCCGAGGAGTGACCCCAAATCCAGGGAGGGACCCCAAATCCCGGGGCTGAGCCCAGACCCAGGCACTGGGGAGTGACCCCAAATACCTGGAGTGACCCCAAACCCACAGAGTGACCCCAAATCCCCGGAGTGACCCCAAATTCCTGGAGTGACCCCAAAACCCGGGAGGGACCCCGAACCACAGAGTGACCCCAAATACCGGAGGGACCCCGAAGATGAGGAGCGACCCCAAATCCCGGGGCTGAGCCCAGAGCCAGGCACTGGGGAGTGACCCCAAATTCCTGGACGGACCCCAAATTCCTGGAGTGACCCCAAATACCGGGAGGGACCGCGAACCCACAGAGTGACCCCAAATCCTGGGACTGTGCCCAAATCCGGGGGAGAGACCCCAAATCCAGGGAGGGACCCCAAATCCTGGGAGTGACCCCAGCCCCAGGAACTGGGGAGTGACCCCAAATTCCTGGAGTGACCCCAAACCCTGGGACTGACCCCAAACCCACGGAGTGACCCCAAATCCACAGAGTGACCCCAAACCCAGGGAGTGACCCCAAACATGAGGAGTGACCCCAAATCCACGGAGTGACCCCAAATCCAGGCACTGACCCCAAATCCAGGGGCTGACCCCAAACCACAGGGGAATGACCCCAAAACCAGGGGACTGACCCCAAATCCCGGGACTGACCCCAAACCCAGGCACTGACCCCAAACCCACGGAGTGACCCCAAATCCACAGAGTGACCCCAAATCCCGGGGCTGACCCCAAACCCAGGGACTGAGCCCAAATCCCGGGACTGAATCCAAATCCAGGAGCGGACCCCAAATCCCGGGACTGACCCCAAACCCTGGACTGACCCCAAATCCAGGCACTGACCCCAAACCCACAGAGTGACCCCAAAATCCAGGCACTGACCCCAAAACCGGGGGATGACCCCAAATCTAGGGAGGGACCCCAAACCCACGGAGTGACCCCAAATCCACGGAGTGACCCCCAAATCCAGGCACTGACCCCAAATCCAGGGGCTGACCCCAAACCCAGGGAATGACCCCAAAACCAGGGGACTGACCCCAAATCCAGGCACTGACCCCAAACCCAGGCACTGACCCCAAACCCACGGAGTGACCCCAAACACAGGGAGTGACCCCAAATCCAGGGAGTGACCCCAAACCCACAGAGTGACCCCAAATCCACGGAGTGACCCCAAATCCAGGCACTGACCCCAAATCCCGGCACTGACCCCAAATCCACGGAGTGACCCCAAACCCACGGAGTGACCCCAAACCCACGGAGTGACCCCAAATCCAGGCACTGACCCCAAACCCACGGAGTGACCCCAAAACCGGGGGATGACCCCATACCCACGGAGTGACCCCAAATCCAGGGAGTGACCCCAAACCCACAGAGTGACCCCAAATCCCGGCACTGACCCCAAATCCGGGGGGTGACCCCAAATCCAGGGAGGGACCCCAAACCCACGGAGTGACCCCAAATTCCTGGAGTGACCCCAAACCCAGGGACTGACCCCAAACCCAGGCCCCAGCACCGACCCCATAGCGCAGGGAGTATTTTTGGGGTGGAAATGGGATTTTGGGCCATTTTCCAGCTCCCGGGTTATTTTTGGGGTGGAAATGGGATTTTGGGCCATTTTCCAGCTCCCGGGTTATTTTTGGGGTGGAAATGGGATTTTGGGCCATTTTCCAGCTCCCGGGTTATTTTTAGCCCCTCTCAAAGCCCCCCTGGGGATTTGGGGGATTTTTGGGATTTTTTTGGGAGCGCCCGGGGCCGTGTGAACCTGCCCGGCCCCGCCCCCCCGGGATTTTGGGGGGATTTTGGGGGGGTCCGAGTGGGATCGGGGGGGTCCGAACCCCCCCTTGGGCCTCCCCATCCCAATTCTTCCCATTTTTATTTTTGGGGTTTCTTATGGGGTTTTATTTTAATTTCTTTTTAATTTTATTTTTATTTTTGGGGGTTTATTTCAGGGGTTTATTTGGGGTTTTTATTTTTATTTATTTTAAATTTTATTTTTATTTTTGGGGGTTTATTTCAGGGTTTGTTTTGGGGGATTTTAATTTTATTAATTTTAATTTTTATTTTTATTTTTAGAGTTTTATTTCGGGGGTTTATTTCAGGGGTTTATTTTGGGGGAATTTAATTTTATGAATTTTAATTTTAATTTTTTAATTTTGCGTTTTATTTCTGGGGTTTGTTGGGGGGGAGTTTTATTTTTATTTATTTTATTTTAATTTTTAGAGTTTTATTTCAGGGGTTTCTTTTGGGGTTTTATTTTAATTTCTTTTTAATTTTATTTTTAATTTTGGGGGTTTATTTCAGGGGTTTATTTTGGGTTTTTATTTTTATTTATTTTAAATTTTATTTTTTTATGGGGTTTATTTCAGGTTTTATTTTGGGGGATTTTAATTTTATTAATTTTAATTTGAATTTTTATTTTTAGAGTTTTATTTCGGGGGTTTATTTCAGGGGTTTATTTTGGGGGAATTTAATTTTATTAATTTTAATTTTAATTTTTTAATTTTGCGTTTTATTTCTGGGGTTTGTTCGGGGGGAGTTTTATTTTTATGTATTTAATTTTAATTTTTTATTTTTAGAGCTTTATTTCGGGGGTTTATTTCAGGGGTTTATTTTCGGGACTTATTGTCAGGATTTATTTTTGGGGTTTGTTTTCAGGATTTATTTTGGGGTTTATTTCTGGGCTTTATTTCAGGATAATCACCCCAAATTTTATTTTCTCAGGACATTTCCCCCATTCCCAGGTTATTTTTCCCGGGTTATTTCCCCCATTTTTGGATTATTTTACCCATTCCGGGGTTATTTTATTTTATTTTATTTTTCCCATTTTATTTTTCCCGGTTTTTTTTTTTCTTTTTGCCCCTCCCGGGTGATTTTTGGCCGCGGTTCCCGCTCGAATTCCTGCGGCCGGAACTGCGGCACCCACTGGGAGCGACTGGGAACGAACTGGGATAAACTGGGAGGGACTGGGATGGACTGGGAGGGACTGGGATGGACTGGGATGGACTGGGATGGACTGGGAGGGACTGGGATGGACTGGGAGGGACTGGGAATGAACTGGGAATGAACTGGGAGGGACTGGGAGGGAATTGGGAATGAACTGGGAGCGACTGGGAATGAACTGGGATGGACTGGGAATGAACTGGGATAAACTGGGAACGAACTGGGATAAACTGGGAGGGAACTGGGAATGAACTGGGAGGGACTGGGAGGGAATTGGGAATGAACTGGGAGCGACTGGGAATGAACTGGGATGGACTGGGAATGAACTGGGATGGGCTGGGAATGAACTGGGATGGGCTGGGAATGAACTGGGAGGGACTGGGAGGGACTGGGATGGACTGGGAACGAACTGGGAGGGACTGGGAATGAACTGGGAGGGACTGGGAATGAACTGGGAGGGACTGGGAGGGAATTGGGAATGAACTGGAGCGACTGGGAATGAACTGGGAATGAACTGGGATGGACTGGGAGGGAATTGGGAATGAACTGAGAGGGACTGGGAGGGAACTGGGATGGACTGGGAATGAACTGGGATAAACTGGGAGGGACTGGGATGGACTGGGAATGAACTGGGATAAACTGGGATAAACTGGGAGGGACTGGGAATGAACTGGGATAAACTGGGAGGACTGGGATAAACTGGGAATGAACTGGGAGGGACTGGGAATGAACTGGGAATGAACAGGGAGGGACTGGGATGGACTGGGAGGGACTGGGATGGACTGGGAGGGACTGGGAGGGACTGGGATAAACTGGGAATGAACTGGGAGGGACTGGGAGGGACTGGGATGGACTGGGATAAACTGGGAATGAACTGGGAGGGACTGGGAGGGAACTGGGAGCGGCCGAGCGGGGGGTGGCCGAGCCCGAGCCCCTCCCCCAGTGTGGGCTGCGCCTTCCTCATCCTCCTCCTCCTCTGTCCCCTATAGAACCCCCAATCCCCCATAGCCCCTATAGGATCCCCCCATCCCCTATAGGCCCCCTCAATCCCCCCCAATCCCCTATAGCCCCCCCCAACCCCTATAGGACCCCCTGTAGCCCCTAAAGGACCCCCCAATATCTCCTATAGCCCCTATAGCCCCCCTCAATCCCCCCTATAGCCCCCACAGATCCCTTAGTCCCCCCCTATAGCCCCCCCAATCCCCCATAGCCCCTATAGGACCCCCCAATCCCCCCCATCCTCTATAGGATCCCCTATAGCCCCCCCTCAATCCCCCCCTATAGCCCCCCTCAATCTCCTATAGCCCCCATAGATCCCCTAGTCCCCCCTACAGCCCCCCCAATCCCCTATAGCCCCTACAGGACCCCCAATCCCCCCCATAGCCCCCCTCAATCCCCCCTATAGGCCCCATAGATCCCCTAATCCCCCCTATAGCCCCCCGATCCCCTATAGGACCCCTCAATCCCCCCCTACAGCCCCCCCAATCCCCCATAGCCCCTATAGGACCCCTCAATCCCCCCTATAGGACCCCCCAATCCCCCCCATCCCCTATAGGATCCCCTATAGCCCCACCCCTCAGGTCACGTGCTCGGCTCGGTCACGTGCCGGTGACGCGCGGTTGAAAGGGGGCGGGGCGTCCCGGCGGTCACGTGCCCTGTGTTATAAAAAAATGCGTGTTTGCGTCACGTGACGCGGCGGCCGCCATGCTGTCCCGGCTGCTGAAGGAGCACCAGGCCCGCCAGAGCGAGCGGCGCGAGCTGCAGGGTGAGCCCCGCCCCCGTCCCCATGGCAACGAACCCCGCTCGCCGCGCCCCATTGGCTGCCGTAGCTGTCGCTCAGCGCAGCGCGGCGCCCCATTGGCTGGCGCGGCTGTCCGTCAAAAGAGGGGGGGAAAGGGCGGGAAGCCTGAGGGGCCCTGAGGGGCCCTGAGGGACCCTGAGGGGTGGGGAGGGAGGGAGGGCCGTGAGGTCACGGCTCCGCGCGGTGACGTCCAACGGGATCACGCTGACGTCAGGCGAGGTGATGCTGACGTCACGGATTGCATCAGGCCGGGCGGGGGTCCTGCCGGCCCTCACGGCGCTGTCCCCGCGTGTGTCCCCCCAGAGCGGCGCCGCAGGGACGCCATCGCGGCCGCCACCCGCCTCACCGAGGCCCTGGTGGATCACCTGAACGTGGGGTGAGCCCGCCAGCCCCGAGACCCCAAATTCCTTATGGGACACCACCTCCCCAAACACCAAACCCTGCCCAGGGACCCCAAACCTCCCAGGACCCCCATTCTATATGGGACCACGGCCCCCAAACCCCAGACCCCTCCTGGGGAGCCCCAATTCCTTCTGGGACCATCCCCACCCAAACCCCAGAGTCCTCCTGGACACCCCCAATTCCTTATGGGACCACCCCCACCCAAGTCTTGTATCCCTCCTGGGGACCCCAAACCCCTCTTGGAGACCCCAATTCCTTATGGGACCATCCCCACCCAAACCCCAAATCCCACCTGGGAACTTCCAGCCCCCCACAGACCCTCTGGGGACCCCCATGTCCCCCCTGTCCCCCCAGGGTGGCCCAGGCCTACGTGAACCAGCGCAAGCTGGACCAGGAGGTGAAGACGCTGCAGGTGCAGGCGGCGCAGTTCGCCCGCCAGACCGGCCAGTGGATCGCCATGGTGGAGAGCTTCAACCAGGCCCTCAAGGTGGGCAAAAAACCCACAGAACACAGCCCAAAATACACCCCAAACACACTGCAAAAACACTGCAAAACCACCCTAAAACACGGCCCAAATAGAGCCCAAAATACACCCCCAAACCCAGCCCAAAACACACCCCAAACCCATCCCCAAACACACCCCAAACACACTGCAAAAACACTGTAAAAACACCCTAAAACACAGCCCAAATACAGCCCAAAATACACCCCCAAACCCACCCCAAACCCATCCCCAAACACACCCCAAACACACTGCAAAAACACTGCAAAAACACCCTAAAACACAGCCCAAACAGAGCCCAAAATACACCCCCAAACCCAGCCCAGAGCAGCCAGTGGATCGCCATGGTGGAGAGTT